GGGGCGTGGGAATTTGGGGGCGTGGGGAATTTGGGGGCGTGGGAATTTGGGGACGTGGGGAATTTGAAGATGTGGGGATTTGGGGACATGGGATTTTGGGTGCGTGGAAATTTGGGGGCGTGGGGATTTGGGGACGTGGGGATTTGGGGACGTAGGGATTTGGGGACGTGGGGTTTTGGGTGCGTGGAAATTTGGGGGCGTGGGGATTTGGGGACGTGGGGATTTGGGGACGTAGGGATTTGGGGACGTGGGGTTTTGGGTGCGTGGAAATTTGGGGGCGTGGGGATTTGGGGACGTGGGGATTTGGGGACGTAGGGATTTGGGGACGTGGGGTTTTGGGTGCGTGGAAATTTGGGGGCGTGGGGATTTGGGGACGTGGGGATTTGGGGACGTAGGGATTTGGGGACGTGGGGTTTTGGGTGCGTGGAAATTTGGGGGCGTGGGGATTTGGGGACGTGGGGATTTGGGGACGTAGGGATTTGGGGACGTGGGGTTTTGGGTGCGTGGAAATTTGGGGGCGTGGGAATTTGGGGATTTGGGGATTTGAGGATCTGGAGATTTGAAAGTTGATTTGACAAAATTGAAAATTTGGAAATTAAGAGACTTACACTTTGTAAACTTAACAACGTTGGAATGTAGGACATTCAGGAACCCAAAAATGAAGTTTTACCTTTGGAAATTAGAATCCAGGAGATCAGAAAACAAAAAGGTATCGCAACCTAAAACTAGCAAAAGCAGTAAAAAACAAGCATAAAAAAATATAAAGAATGAGCATATTAAGCTATAAGATACTTACTTGATCACTGCAAGAATGAAAAAGGCGACCACCAGGGTGAAAAAGGAAACTGTGTATCCAACCTTGGAAATGGTTTTCACGATCGGAAAGAAGTTCTGTAACACGGTTTGCGCTAATTAGACTGTTTATCGGTTCTCGTACGAGCAATTAAAGAACTTTAACCGCGTTACGAACCACTACTCTCGATGCTGATAGGAGGAACATTAACCCTTTCGCTAATATAACGTCGACTATAGACACGAAATGAAACGAGCCGCGTTATATTACCCCGACTAATAAATTTCCATTCAATGAGCAATTTAATAAAACAGGGAATCAACACTGAGCTACTTTGATGTTGCTTTTACACCGGTACAAGCAGCTATTTTATTGCCGCTTTAAAGACAATAATCAAGACACTGCTGTTTGCTGCAGTTTACAAAGAACAATATCATTCAAGCTTCTTTCAGAGTCCATTATTAAAGAAATATTAACGCAAAACTTATTATACAATTTACTGTGAATTCACTGTGAGTTGAGTTATATATTTCAGGCCTTAAATCAAACAGCAATTTGCAGGAAATTTCAGAATTTTCAATGTGCAGAATTATATCTCGGCCATCGCAGACACAAACACGTTAAATAAGTTCCTCTTTTGCTCCGACGAAAGTTTATAGAGCAGGAAACGCTCTTAATATCTTTCCTTTGAAGTAGTTCCTTTGTGATATTCACCTTTGAACTATAGGCACTTGAATTAATTTCATCACATGAGCATTCACCTTAATGAGAGTATCGTTATTCTCCTGACCACCGGGCAGCTCCATCAGAAGAGTTACTAATGGATCCCGATAACACTGGCTGTAATTGCTCCAGGAGCTGTTGGTCTCGTTATTCCAAAACCACTGGCCATCACACATGCACTGCTTAGACGCGTTCGCCTGGATTCAACACAATTTCTGGTTTTATTACCTGAGAGAGGATTTGCTCGACCTTAGGAAATATTATTTCTAGAGGAATTGGTCAGAGGAAGTTCCTTTACTGACCTACGGATACATATTTATAGAAACTTGTCTTTAAAAGGAAACGCAACTTTTTCCGACCTATGGAAATCGATTTTTAACGCGGTTTACTCCTACTTGGAATATAGATTGCACAGGAGACCCTCGCTATATTGCCAGCTGATCGTGGTACTTGGTAGAGCTTGGAGATTTATGGAAACTGAAATTCTTTGTTGAAGTTTTATTGCTACTTGTGTTGCTATGCAGGTTCCATTGCTTATGTGGTAGTTGGTAGAGTTTGAAGATTTATGGAAACTGATAGAAATTCTTTGTTGAAGTTCTGTTGCTACTTGTGTTGCTATAAGTTGTAATTTCACATTTAGACTTCAAGCAATTCCATCAGTTTACCACTAACTCTACATGTGCTAATTCCATGCAACATAATTCCTACATCTTCTGGAAATTGAAATTCTTTGTTGAAGTTCTGTTGCTACTTGTGTTGCTATATGTTGTAATTCCACATTTAGAGACATCAAGCAATTCCATCTGTTTACCACTAATTCCACGTGTTCTCATTCCATGCAAATAATTCCTACATCTTCATACACATCATGCATTTAATGTTGCAATATCGTAGTCAATCATAGCATAGATGTAGTATAATCTATGCTCCACATATTACCAACTCCATCTCTCTCCTCACTCGTGGCAGTATAGCGAGAGTATCTTGACATCAACGTAAAACCTGTAAGACACTACGTATCAGTATTTACACTGTATCACTATATGTTCATGTACAGTATTGATAAATTTGCACATCAGTTTAAGAAAAAAAATTACCTGAACATCGAATCCGGCAATATATGATGGACAGGATAAAACAGCCAGTTCCCCAGGCGCCGTGGATGGCCAGCACAATATTTCATCCCACACTTCCGGACACCAACCTGTTTAACAAAATACAGTGGCTCTTTTGTTACATCTCTCTGAAACGATATCAAAGTTTTTCATTGCGTTCGGAATGTTTCGTTTTTTAATCGTGTATCGTATTCACAAACCATCTCCGGTTCAATTGGAAGCACTGATTTTTTCATTGAGGCGAAAAAATATTGGTTTTTGTTATTCGCAACAGTGTCAATAATACATTTAAATATTTGTCGATTTTTATAAATTCTGGCGTATGTATTCTTTGAACACGTCGGGTTATAAAATAATAGAAGGTGATTAAATCTAATGAAACATCTGTAACAGCTGGTAACAAAAGTAGTTTACTTAAAGTGTGGTATGTTTTTTATCAACACTTCTAAGAATGAACCTCTCTATTTTCTATCTCACGTTTCATCTAATTAATTAGCATGATAGAGGAAAAAGTGGAGAGGAAGAATGATTGATAATTAAAATGGAGGCTAATTTTCTGTAGAGTGTTAACAGACGACCTTCGTATCGATCTTTCATTAAGTGATGAGTATGTTTCTTGACATTCGATACTTCATAATTTAATTATAATCCCAGGCTTTCCAAGGATGATCCCTTTTAAGTAATTAATAACTTCTGCCTAACCTCGTAGCCCTAAATTACTAAAATTCATTTACTCCGCATAAAAATTCATGTCATTGGCTTTTGAAATACACTTCCATAAAAGTTTGCATCGGTATTTCGCGTTAGTCGGTGTCTATCGTCGCAGGAAATACTCCGGGGAGTATAAAATGGCCGATTATTCGTTGTCAGCAACGCGTTGGACCAGAAGCTTTCATCCTGTAATTCGTACTATAGAGTTTGACACAGGCTGCACAGAAGTTACAGGAATAGGAATCCATTAAGGTTCGAATGTATGCAAGCGAAATCACATTTAGCCATTTGCATGCATGTTCGTCTGTGCGGTCACTTTGTGCGTGTACCAGACATTCTAAAACCCATTGAATCTGCATCGACCCTTGTTTCATCATGTTCGTTAGAAAAGATTCATCCACAAGTGAAAATTTGCAATGACTCATACAGGTGACACGTGACCTTGTGGTTCATGAAATCTCTTATGTGAAAGCCTGGAAAATAAAAAATAAATTGATTCAACAATCTGAGATGTTTCTAATATAAGAATAAACCTGTTAAGTTGTACAAGTACTTGTTAATACTACAACTTCAAAACTTCTCTATTTAGAGATTTACAAAACCTTGTACCAGTTGGAATTTCAAAGGCAACAATTTCCTAGCACCATACGTGCCTCCCATAAATTGTCAGAACACCCTTAACGCAATTCCGGTTTAACGAGAAAAATTTGTACGTTTTTCAGCGACGTCCATAAGCGACGTGACAAAACTTCGCAGGAAACAGTAAATATCGGGGTCGTCTCTGTCGCACAGCGTTTCATAAATTTCCTATGGTAACGGGTCATGCGACAGCGAACTGTGAACTCATCGAAATCCATGGTTCAAAGCCGATGAAACGGGTGGGTGTATTATAGAGTGGCGCGTTGTTACACGGTGAATGATTAACTACAGGATTCTGTTTGGCAATCCTCAACTAGCAAATTATTGAAATGCTGTATCTCTCTCTCCGGGTATTGTATCTGGCACCACAAAATAAAGACAATAGTAGACGGGAAGCTCGCTCTGGTTACGAGATAAAGGAACAATATACATCCCTGAAGATACCTGAGAGCGACTTTCAACGAGACTCTTCTGCAGTCGTTAAATGCAATTTATTCCGGAAGAAAGTACACGAAACTTTCATACTGCTAATTACTTCGCTATCTTCGTTCAGCTATTTGGAAATTGCTGTTGGTTTTTTCACCGAAGAAACTACTTATTGTTAGACTGTAAGTGACTTTACAGTGGACTTTTGTTTTTTTGAAATAGAGGTAGATTTTTGAAACCTCATGGACAGATGAAGAATTTTCTTGAGAATTGTTAGGTTAGGTTTTGAACCATGGTACTCTCTAAGGTGTATAATAATGAAGAAATTTAGCTTTGAATTTCATCTCCAAATAAGATTAATCATTTAAGGTCAATTTTCCTTCTGTTACTGTTGAAGATTCCTCTCTTACTGTTCACAGATTTGAAGATGTACAAACTTCACTTGGGAATTCAATATGGCTGTTCAAGGGCAGATGACAAATTTTCTTGAGAATTGTTAGGTTAGGTTTTGAACCATACCCTCTGGAGTATTATAAGATAATGAAGAAGTTTAGCTTTGAATTTCATCTCCAAATAAGATCAATCATTAAAAGTCAATTTTCCTTCTGTTACTCTTGAAGATTCCTCTGTTACTATTCACAGATCTGAAGGTATACAAACTTCAAGGTCCACAGCAATTAATTCCATCTTGTACTTTGAAGTGAATGTTCACATGTGTGATTTTAGGTCAGGTTTTGAACCATATTCTCTGGAGTATTATAAGATAATGAAGAAGTTTAGCTTTGAATTTCATCTCCAAATAAGATCAATCATTAAAAGTCAATTTTCCTTCTGTTACTCTTGAAGATTCCTCTGTTACTATTCACAGATCTGAAGGTATACAAACTTCAAGGTCCACAGCAATTAATTCCATCTTGTACTTTGAAGTGAATGTTCACATGTGTGATTAATGTATTGCTGTATAATTTCTTTAATGTATTATTGTATAATTTCTTGTGAAGACTGCAAACAAAGTGACCGCCTGAAAGCAATGAGATGTCCAATGAAATTTGTAGATTTACTCGTTAAGAGGTACAGATATTGTACTTCAGAAGAGTTAATTGGAGGGAAGGTGAGAATTAAAGCGTGCCAAGTTCCGGCCAACAGGTTCAAGTTAATTGAAGCGGTAACGCGAAGTCGAAGCTTCTTCGAACTTTTGAACTTCGCCACCTACTGTTAATTATTAGTTTGCAAACTGTACGGTTGCGGAAACCGATCAAGCTTCCATCAAATACAGTGGTTGTTTCTCGCGCATTATTAATCTTTGTACATAGAACTTCTGCGTTGAAAGTTGCAAACGTTTAACAAATTTTAAGACTTTAGAATTTAAGAAGTTTGGAATCTTGAAACTCTGAGACTGTAAAACACTTGAAAGTTGGGTTGCCACATTGCAATGCTGGATTTTAGAAATTTTTGAATTTAACGCTGAAAGTTTAAGGTATGGAACTCTTCAGAAGTTTGGAACATGTGAGAACTGCTAAATTTGACAAGTTTGAAACTGTCGAACTTTGTTGCTAAACGCAAGAGTGAAAATTCAGCACCGTCTTAAATTGCTGCCATAACATCCTTATTTCCTGAATGTCCTGCACTTGCACGCGACTCACCCGTCATCGAAACGTTTCCTTTGTGGCATTGATCAGCTTTTATTTTCAGAATCCGCTTCTGTATGTTCGGGCTGTTTGGATTATTGAAATCGATGTCCTCCTGAAACAACAGAGACGGTATTAAATTTCACGATAAAATAGCACAGCGTTTATTTCCGATGACAAATGTTTACCACCGTATACAGTTGCGTGTTTTGTTACGATTATCAAACATTAAATTAAAATCGAATACGAAGGACAAGTTGGAGTTTCGAAAATAAATCGAAAACGCAGAAGAACCGGAGAGGCATCTATTTTTTCATTTTTACGACTGCCATCAAGAACAGGCCTCGTTTGAGGGTGCCACTCTGTCCATCAGATGTCTGCTATGCAACGATTCATGAAATTTAGCGCACCGTAATGGTACCGTGTTTTCTCACATTTAAAACCTTCTTGAGAATATGTATTTTTACTTCTCTCGGAATTAAGCCTTCGCAGATACTTTTTTAATACTGCAATTCTTAAAACTTTAAAGGGATTTGGAACTCTTTGATTTCTCTCCTTAGTTTATAGATCAAAGTTCTCAAGTTGCATGGCAAATTTTACATTTATTACAAGCAGTAAATAAACGAAAATATCGACATAGGGTTAAGACTTTGGAGTTTCGACGCTTCAGAGTGTATCTTTACAAATTTACAAACTTTCTACTTCCAAAACTTTGAGATTTTTTTACAAAAGTTTACCTCAAACTTTCAAAAGTTTGGGGACTCGGGAATTTGTGAAACTGATATGATTATTCAACCGCCATAAATCACTTGACATTTCCTGAAGCAAAACTTGAAAAAGAATTTCGGTACACTTCAACCCCGAATATCTTAAGATTGCGAAGCAGCGATAACCGCTGCACCGCTTTATATTTTCTTTCTATCGTACAGGAAATGAGCTCGATAGATTACATGTATCAATTTCTGCAAGATATTCATTCAAAAAGAAATACGTAGGATCGGAAACGTTATCAGAAATACGTCGAGGATTTAATAGACTGAAAGAGGAGCTTATCCGCCGAACGAATGGCTCGAAGAAATATTTTCTGAGAAAACACAAGACACGATACATGTAAATATTTCTTTGAAGATTGAATGAACTGTTATTTTTCTTCTTTGCAAAGCTTTTCAGTCGATAATTGAAAAATGTTGATTACGAATACCCCTCGAATTCCGGCGAACTGAGTTTTCCGAGCTGGTTGCCAAACGATTTAACGGACTGAATTCCTTTAGTATTCTTACGTTTCCGTTTCTTTCATTTCGCCTTGTTCAGTGAAACTTGAACGACAGGAGGACTTACATTTTCTCTAAGAACTTCAGGAATTTCCCGTCGGAAGTTCGTAGGAATTTTCTATTCATTTATCGAGATTGAAGTGCACAGCGAGTAAATATGTACCACGACGGGTGAATAATCATATAAGTCGACTTAGCTAAGTCTATCAAATCATCTACCATAGGTCATTCTTTAAAGAAACCTGACAGAATGACTCTTTCAGAATTTTTAAATCTCTTCTATTAGCATCCGCAGTTAAAATCTCACAATGCTGAAAAATATGTTAAAGTATATTAGAATTTTTGAAAAACAATCTTGCAAAACAATTTTTCATCGAGTTGAAAGACAAAGAACTTACGTATGCGTCCATTTTGTCGCCCACTTGCATGTCAGTCCGTCAATTTGTTTTCAAATAAGCTTCCGTTCCTGAAACGATGGAATACCGTTAGTTAATTAGCTTCGCGCCTGGAACTAGCATGTTCATACAACTAACTTTATCGTTTCATGAAAACTCCAGAGAATTAATGAACAAATATAAGCATTGAAGTTATTATAGAATTACGAAGCTCGTTTGTTAATCCTCAATTAGAATCCTCTGAATAATTAAATGGAAATCACGATTCCCTAAATTGACCACAAAATGGGGCGCAGGAAACACATTGCCACACCCTTCCTTGTCCTTTTATTAACCCCTTATTAAGGTCCAGGGGTGAGTAACCCCTTTCAACGACACGGTTACGCCTCTTTTACTCTCAATTATTAACTGAACACGTTCCCGTATAAAAGAAGATTAAACGAATAATTACAGAAATTTTTACTTGTTCGCTACTGTGAAATTTGATTATTCAGAGACTCACAGTAATCTGTCGCTTTACATCAGTTTTATAGTTATTATATTATTATAAATATATTTATAATCTTTAAGCTATGTGACAATGAATAGTTTAACTATAGAATGCATGACAATATAACATTCATTCAGTATGTATCTTTATGACTTGATTACCTAACCTAACCTAAGTATGATCCTAACTTATTTATAAATATATTTATAATCTCTAAGCTGTGTGACAATGAATAGTTTAACCATACAATGCATGACAATATAACATTCATTCAGTATATATCTTTATGACTTGATTACCTAACTTAACCTAAGCATGATCCTAACTTAAGTATAAATATATTTATAATCTCTAAGCAATGTGACAATGAACAGTTTAACTATACAATGCATGACAATATAACATTCATTCAGTATATATCTTTATGACTTGATTACCTAACTTAACCTAAGTATAATCCTAACTTAAGTATAAATATATTTATAATCTCTAACCAATGTGACAATGAATAGTTTAACTATAGAATGCATGACAATGTAACATTCATTCAACATATATCTTTATGACTTGATTACCTAACCTAACCTAAGTATGCTTCTAACTTAATTATAAATATAATTAATCTCTAAGCTATGTATAAATATATATGTTATAAATATATAATCTCTAAGCTATGTGACAATGAACAGTTTAACTATAGAATGCATGACAATATAACATTCATTCAGTATATATCTTTATGACTTGACCTAACCTAACCTAAGTATGATCCTAACTTATATATTTATAATCTCTAAGCTATGTGACAATAAACTATACAACGCATGGCGACATAACATTCATTATGTATCTTTATAACTTGATTACCTAATGAACCCAACCCAACCTAATCATCAACCTAACCTTACAATATAATTACAATCCTACCTTCCCTTAACCTAACCTAACAAATAACAGCCATAGAACAATGTTCGCATCACATATATCACGCAGTTGGAAGTCGTTCGGGTATCGGACAGAAAAATTGAGAAGGGTCATATTTCAAGCGAATCCTGTTGATTTATACGCGCGATACAGCACCGAAATCGTAAGTTTGTACGTCTATATCGCATCTTGTGACCCGGTTTCCGGGTTCCGCAACGAAACACGCAACAGAAGCCCTGAAGTGTGTGGCCCTGGCGGCTTCAGCCGGAATCCACCACTGTTCCTGGTAAATCCGTTGGATAAGGCCAGATTTGTCGGTGAATCATTGTCGTTTACCGAGCTTTATTATCGCCAGGGCTTTACAACTGGTTTTTTTGCGAGGCCAACATCAAGCAACGAGATGCTGCTGACTTTATTGTTCCCTCTCAACGAGTCTGCGACGACAAGCACGACCGGTGGCTTTCGAGCAAAGAGGATTAGCAGAGGTTGCGAATGTTCGATAAAACGATGTTCAATAGCGTATTCTGACGGCTGTGTGTCACGGGAAATTGAGAGATCCGAACTTCCTGTTACGTAGAGGTAATCGAGAGCTTGTTATATCCACAAAATCAAAATGGAACCGTGTACAAAGAGTTAAGATACAATTTGATTGAATTAGGAACTAAATTAGGAAACTATTAGGTCTATAGAATAGTCTTCGCTGTTTTGTCAAAGTATACATACACTTCATGGAACAAAATAATAATCAGTTTAATTACAATTAAGTATTAAAGTACCCTTAGCTCTTCATAGATCAAAATCATCACTACTAATTGAAGCAAGACTATTCTAAAATACCATTCGTTTCACATACAATAAATACAATAAGTTTCATGGAGTTATACCAAGTTTCCTCTACATAAAAACCTTAAGAGGAAATGTCAGGTCGCTCTGCATCGATGAAACTTTATAATCGTTATTTTTCTCGCGAACTTCTCACGTTGCGTAAACTATTCGGAAAGCTAATTAAAACGATGGAAGTTAGTTGAGTCACAGGGGAAACAGCTTTCGAATAATTGTACAGTTTGTTCAGATATTAGGGGGTAAAGTTAATTAAAATCGACAGAAACCGTGGGCATGCTGCCCGTTTCCCTTTATCCAACTTCCAGTCGCTTAAAGTTTCCTCGTATTCTGGAATAATTAATCGATCAAACGAAATTAACCGTACGACGCAGTTACGACTAATTAGATTGTTTTGCAGTTGTGTCTTGAAGAAACTGTTACCGTCTTCGCGAGTCTTTTGCATTCATGGACTGAGATCTGTACACATCTTCAGACTGCCAAATTATTTTGTATAATCGCTTTACAATGTATGAATATACGAAATACAATTTTGAAATTAAGTTCATGAATTCTTAAGCATTAAATCAGATTCAAAATTTCTTAGCACAGTCAGAATTAAATGATGAATAATTGCTAACAATAAATGTTTAAGTTAATGTCGAATCATAAATATTATCAAAAGAGCTAAACGAGCTGTAGATGTGTCGCTTATGACTCGTGTCGGATGCTTGTTACGGTGAATTTCGACGGAACAACCCCCGTTTATATCCGGAGTATTCCAGATATTTTAGCCACGGGGTTGCTGAACTTTAATCTGTCCGCAATTACATGGTCCTTTCAGTAAATAACGAAGAAGTCGTCGACGGACGATAACATTTGCAGTTTTAAAAGCGAGATCATTTTCCGTATGCTTTCACAATTTATTTACGGTTCTTCGCTATTTACGCAAGAGTGAAAATGATTTACATTTTTTACTATAAATCTAAAGAAAAAATAAGGTTGAAACTGTACGAGGAAAAATTATATGCAAAGCAGTCTTTAACAAAAATATAATTCGAGCTTCTCTCAAATATTCTCTTTTAATCATCCATTAATTTTAATTAAACATTCGTTCGTTTAAAAAAATTAATCTTCGTACATGTTTCATTAATGAAGAAGCAACGCAAAATTTGATCTGTACAATCATTAAACTACTGAAGTCTCGAATATCCGCAATACAGAATATTAGGTAATTGTATAAATATGTCGAAGAATGATTTTGCTATCCTTGAAGCGACTAATGTATGAAATCGATCGATTGTCCTGTCGAATCACGTGTTCTAAAGGTGACCATTTTTACCAGGTAATCGAGGGGCCTATTTAATAGATACTTTAATAAACGCACACATTCCACGGCATACATCTACACGCGTGTAGAGAGATCAATATGTGACACGTGAGCACACACGAGCCAACAGGACGAAAGTAAAGTGGCGATGACACCACTCGCTATCGACTGCTATTAATTGGCTTTTCTTCGCAATGTGTCATCTCTTTAATTAATACCCCTGACAACCAACAAAGGCGGGTCTCTGTCTTAATGCGATGAGTCACGTGTCATCTCATAACCATCAAATGATCTTTGCAAGTTTCTCCTTTTTCTAGATTTTCGTGATCAGCAAATTACGTACACGCTCCAATATTATCCACCTAAAACAAAAGTTTTTCAGCACCATTCTACAAAATAAACAATTTCATCAAAAGTTTGTTCAATCAAAAAAATGACATTCAAATACCAGTGTGACCTTTAAATAAGTTCGCGTTAATCAATTGTGGTTCAGTGGTCGTTAAACAAAGGACATAATGTAATTAGCCGCGGATTTAACTTCACTTCGCGCTTAATAAACTCGTCAATATCCATACCGTTTCGAATATGTAATTCTATTAAAACAAATCATTTGAATACCGGAGTACCATGTGAAAAGCTACATTCCTTTTTATTTACTCTACTCGAGGAAGGAAATTCCAAGAGAACTTTTAAAAACATTTTATATTCCACTTCCGTGTAAAAATGAGGGTACGTGGGCAGATCATTTCTTTATCAAAGGATGGTTATGTTGCACCCCACGCTGAATGTTTGCTTTAGGCGGTATGGCTAATTAAGAGAAGAAACCAGCGTTATGATATCACGATATTATGCGAAAGATACTAATAAGCAAACATCGAATAAAATACACGTCATGAAATTAAAATATAACATTACGATTAAATTAATTTCTTCTAACTTGACTTTTAACCTAACCTAACGGATAATCAAATTGATCTATCGTATAAGCCGGGAATTTTCGAAAATCCCTATCTAGCTAGGGCGGATCTCCATTGAACAATTGATTGGATTAACGAACTGTGACTATCGAGCATACCGTGAATATTAACCAGACCTTCAACTTAAAAATTTAACTACGCGCTGTCATGAATATGCGCTGTAATCTCACGTTATATCGCCATGCGTTGTATTACCACTTATTCAATCGCTACGTAGTACTGTGACATATTTATATCGCCAGGCGATGTAATATCGCATGATATATCGCCAGTTGGATTAACACTTATTGAATTGCTACGCATTTACATCGCTACGTGTTTACATGGCTACGCATATTGTCACGCAACGAATAAAGCAACATATCGACTCTAAAATCTTTACAATCCTAGTCTCCTCGACAGCGACGTAACAAGAGTTAAATATAATATAAAATACAGAATTAAATTTGAAGTTGGTTTTCCACAAGATTGAATTTAAAAGAAACATTAGCGCCCATAATGTAACTCACGCGAGCTTTGTCTTTTAATTAGGATAATGTGGCTTACTACATTCAGACTGGTTCTACTGTGCAAATAAAACAAGGCAGGAATTTAACGGATACATTTCGTTTTCGTATTTCAAAACGTAATATCGAGTTACACAAGAACTAGGTCGATTTTTCCTGTCGTGTTTTTAACGTTTTTCTTTGTACAATGTACTCGAAGCTTCCTTTTAAAGTTCGTGTTCGACAACTCCAGTATTTACTGACTTTAGATCGGACGCATTTCATCGCGCAAATGTTCTGCAAAATAATGATTGCGTTCATTTGAAGGATCGTGTTTGAAAATTCATGGTTGAATAAGTTTCAAGCACTAATGTTAACAGGTATATCGTTAATTGAAAAATCAGTGGATTGCTTTTAACGATTACGAGCTTTGGCCTCCAAAGTTTATTTATAAAGCATCAGATGCGCAGCAGGCGATCCGTAAAACCAAGCATCTCAAGTATATCCTTCAGATATCCAAAAACAGTTTGCCCACACTCGGATGTTCTCAAAGTAGGATCAGAACTTTTATAAAAATAAAATTATCAAACTAAAATTATTCCTCTGCCTTGTTAATTTTAATAATGAAATATCTGCGAGTCAAACGAACCAGTCTCATGGGAAATGCAATTAATTCTGAATAACGCATCACTTGAAAACGTAGTTTAAAAAATATTTAACGTTTTTATAATCATTTTGAAACCCTTTGACGGCCAGTACCACGTGCGTGACTTTGATGCTTCGCCTTCTATTTCATTGTTCCTTGCCTTTCTAGCTTTTTGTAACACGGGTTAATTACAATTTATCGATTTTACAGCTTATACCTTTCTGCTAGAAAGTCTTCATAGCATAAATACTACTTATACCTTATGGTTAACGCTTGATGAAGCTACTATTACAGTTTTAAACTTTACTTCTCATTATCCACTCCTCTGTGTACATAACTTCTTTTTAAATTGAGGAGTATATAAATCACGCCATGCTCAAGATGAGAAATTACCAGCTTCAAACTTTAATTAACACATCATTCGCTTCGAATAACGAAAAGTGAAATAATTTAAAATTCCATGAAAGAGAAATTACATTTCTTCTGTTTACACGAAACAAGTTGAAGTAGTCGTTATTAAAGTCATTATGGTGTCAAAGCTTGAGGAGATAAACCTGCTACAAAGCGCAGAAAGTTCATCAAGTATAAAACAATAAAGGAAGAAGCAATAAAGACTCACTCAATAATTGCTCAAACGCGTTCCAGGAAATCTCCTGTACAGTCTGCGGTTCCCATGAAAGGCGAGATCAGCGAGAATCCCGTAAACGCGAAGAGCGGGAGGCAGTCATTTAGCAAAGCTTTTTCAAATGCTTGTGAAAGCGGCGATGAAACGCTTCGTGACACCTGTTTACGCGCGTTCGAAAGCGTATCAGTCACAAAGCGGATGAATGCGGAGCTTCCTGTCGCTTTTTCATATTTGACCGTCCGCTATTTCCGCTTGATGACGCTCGTAAACTGGCAGTAACACTCTTGTTCTTGTTGATCAACAGTTTGGACAGAAAAACGGGTCTTGCGTTTTAAGCGACGACTTTCGGTTATTGTAAAATACAAATTATTGAAGTTTAAATTGCATGTTCTCTTTTCATTAATTTTAATTGCAGTTCTTCGAGTCTTCAATATGCTTTGTTCTGCAGAATTGAAATTGCGGTTGAAGTAACTTTTGAAGCCTTTCAATTTGCAAATTGAAGTCTTTATACCTTGTTTTAAAGAATTCCAATTACAGAATGCACTTTTTAATGTCTGTTCGTTCCTTCAAAAAATCCAATTTACAAGTGTTCTTCCCTGTGTTTTACTCTAATGAATATCCATAGTTTGATGAATCAAAATTGTAGGTGACTGGATTTTTCAGTTCCTTCCACGGATTGTATTACACTTAACTAATACTCGCAGTTTTCCTTGATTTCTTCGCCTTCGGAAATCCACTTTACAGTTTAAAATATTTTTTAGAATCTTCCATGCTTCGCTGGAGCTCCGAAGGATTTGCGGCTACCAGTATTCTTCTGCCTTGATAAATTTAAATTGCAGTTAATTGCAGTTCAAAGTACCTTTTAGTACCTTCTATTCTTTATAGCCGCAGTTACAACCGGAGACAATTGCAGCACAATTCTTTAATTATACTTTGTGCTGACTTCAAACTTGTTGGTGATAAACACTTTACAAACACACATATGTACCAATAATCAATATTGTAACTTTATACGAATAAAAACAGTTCCGACCTACGTACAGATAAATAAATAAATAAATAATCAAAACAGCGGTACGTAATCATTAAAACGACCACACTAGGTCTCTGTTTAATCTCCGTTGATCTTAATCTTCCTCGCGAACAGAAACACCTCGTCAAACTGTTTGTTTGTTTCCTTCTGGATTACAAGGTTCCTCAAATCGTTCACAAGTTTTGTTATCTCATCAAGTGGCGAGTATCGTTGCAATCTGAACAAGTGACGTCACTCGAAGGCTTTTCTGCTTTTTCAGTTCAAAAGACGTACTTCAATGCACCAAAGCTAACAGCGTTAAGCGGATTTGATTTTCAACGTCACGCGGACCATATTCGAGTTCTCAGGAACTCGTGGCTTTTAGCGAACCAGGATGATCCCGTGTTCCAGTATCGTTTACCTCCTTGACCGGAAACTTAAACCGATGTCCACTGAACCAATTTCCACTGTTCATTTAACACCATTTGCCTCAAGAGGTCAAATTCAATATTTGTCTAAGACTAATGTCCGATGCTGTTATGAAACGTTCAAGTAGTTTAAACGATCTTCACTCGGAGTCCATAATTCATATAACTTCAACTTTATTTAATCGCTTGTCGCTGAAACTATTTTAGACAAGAGTTATACCCTTGAAGAAACCTCTTTATTCAGATATCTTAACAAATATATTCAATAACGTATCAGGCTTTCTAAAATTAAGACACTGTTGCTTCTATTTTTGAACAAGCTTGTTTATGCAAATAGTATCAACTATAGTAGTACTCAAGTTTTAAGCAACACTTTAAGCTCGTGGTAGTTCAACTAGGAATCATTGAAAACATTTAATCAATCACTTATACTCTTCAGTTAGTCTATGGAGGAAAAGTATTGGATTGCTAAAAATTTTTGAAACTCTTCGACGTCTTCAAAGTTCTTAAATTCTGCAGTAACTCTTTATAGCCTAACTTTTAATATTTCTACAGGTTGATACTATTAACTTGTTTATACATACATGCTTCACGTAAATGTTAATATTTATATTTTAATACTAATTATGTGCTGAGTATAACAAGGACAAAGTTTGAATAACTTCAACGTTATACTGACTATGTAAATTCTTACATAAAAATAATGCAACAGATAGACTCGTAGGATCAGCAAGTTACCAACAGTTTCAGCAATAACCAAGCGATTAAATTTGTACAATTTCATGAAGAAAGATTATCGAATCCGCATGAATATTCTAGCGCTAGTTTTGGAAAGATTTACGGAATAACGCTTCCTACGGATCTAGAGATCGATATGTCGCGAACGCGTTGGCACGTCCGACGCCGGGCGCCGTTTAAGCGCGACTGCCTTGTCCTGGTACTCTATATCGTCGGATCTTACGCATGTCCGATTTCCTACTCTCTCTCTCTCGCTCTATTTCCACCGACTGTCTTTCTCGTTTCAGTGGACCATCTCTATCGCTTTTTCGCTCTGTATTACCGTCTTTATTGCTCCGCCGATCCGCCAACTGTTGCTTTTCCGCCGATTCTGACCACGGGATGAAAAATAGCGACGACGTCCCGGCTGTGCAATAAAGCTGCCTCCAAGTTGGATCGATGGCAAATGGATGGGGCTCCTGACGTCTCCTAACGAGTATGGTATAGCTGAAGTTCTGTAGATTTGCAGGAATTTTACCCTGCAAAAAATATATGGAATTAGAAATCAACGTAATTACATAATTTCAGAATCAAAGATCTCAGTGATTATGTTTAGGTTTTTCCAGATTTTAGAATCGCAACAGAAAATAGTGATAGTATAGCACACCAAGTTTTTAATGAACTAAGCGAACTTTGACCGGTTGAGAAAGGGTCATTGTGTTTGCAGAGACTGCAAGAAGTAACGATATTGATTCCTATTTATAAACCATACAATCGTTTTTACGAACAACACTGCAAGACTGAAAGTATCATGCTAGTGAAATTGTATCACCTCACAATGAAAATAAGGAAAAAGTATTTGAATAATATTGAGTGAAGTTCATGAGCTTTTGTACAGCAGCGATAGCCTTACCATTAAGGCAAATTTTGATCATTAATTATACTCGAAATGACCAATGCAGAGTACCATCACGAGCACAAAGGCTTCAGCTAAAATTCAAGAAGAGTTGAGACAGTGAGATTAATGAATAAAACATGGCTCATGCGAAGCTTCATTTTACTAGTTAGTAGAGTGCATCTTAAAGCAAACGACGAGCACGTGTAACGATAAATTGTCCCAACCGAACCACACCAATCAGGTATTCCTTTGTACTCTTAATCAACTGCAAACACGCGTTTGGTAGTGGACACACGTGCGAAACATTTCATCTCATTAAGAGCACAGAATGCTTCTCCGCAATTGAGAGAAGAATTACCTTGTTTCCTCTGTAGAGGGTTTCTCTTCAATACAGGATTGTTTGTGGTACAAATTTCCTTCTACCATGCACCGCGAAATCAGTTACACTGGTCCACTTCAAATTACAAAGCGTTTGTTGGTAACATCAATTTGTACATCATGCACTTTTCCTGAAAAAAAGAAAACTATCAATATTTCGATGCGAGTACGTTTTTCAAATATCTCGTTCTCTATACATCATTTTTTATTTGTTAAAAAATACTGGATGAAGGTAGAAAGGAAATATTGAATTTCAATATTTATTTCATAGGAAAGTTTCGATTAATGCGAGCGGAAATGAACAAAAGTATACGAACCGTTCTTGAATATTCCTTCTGAAACAGCTTCTCGTTATTCTACTTGGAAAATTCCATGAATCAAGTGAATGAATGAAAAGGAAAGGAGAGAATTACGAGTGATTATCGACGAGTAAACCCGAAGGAGGGAGAGAAAGAAGGAGGGTTGAAAGCGGCCACTAAAAGAATTATCTTTCGAGCGTTCGACGAACCACTCGAAACATAAGAGTGGTGGAGCACGTGCAAGTATTTGGTGATCTATGATAACGATATTACCGAGGACCGGTGATAACGGTGATAATGGACTCGGCACGTTTCGGCCACAATTTATCGCTAACGTGTTCCGATCTCGACACAAAAAAGGTCGAGCCCTTTCAAACATCGAGGGATACTCGACATTATTTACATTTTTTAATTCAAAAAAGACGGCAAGAGGTACAAATTTTTAACGATTTATACAGTTATCAAAATAAAGAAACTTCCATCGATAAATTTTATATAAAATATGAATTTCCCGTGTGTAAACTAACGAGGTTCCCGTGCGATTCATGCGCCGGAAGAGAAATTCTAGAGATCCCGAGTGGAACGACAACGTTCTGCACGCTAGCGTTAAATGGAAGATCAAACGAACGAGATTTGAGTCGTGCACGCGTTCATGCGTCAATGAATTTTTATTCGCGACGCCACGGAGACGAGAAGAATGTTTTTCGACGTGGGAAGAGCAGCAGCCGAGAGAAGCTTTTCAGGTTGACACCGGCAATTTTTGTTGGGTCGAATAAAATTCAAGAGGAAGTATATTGAAACTTGTTCGCATCCAATTTGTTCAGTGGTCATGGCGTATCGTTTATCGAACACGGAATTATACGACTTTCGTTTTATCGTGGCGGCAATCTCCGCTACTTAAACCGGCAACAATTATCCATTTATCATGACAGTTCTTTTATCGCCAAGAGAAAAGAATTCTTCCGTCATTCTCATTAAACGCTATCGTACAAGCGTTTTACATTAACTAATTGCAATTGTTTATTCCTTTGCGGCTGCAGACTCGGTACCATGCTGTCTGTTCTGCTATCAAAACACACCACTCTGCTTCTGTTATCTTCTTCAACATATACCTGTTGTTTATAACAATACTGCATTAATTTACAGAAGTAACACATCAGTATTAATTTACAGTAAAAAATATATTAGCTAGTAGTATAACTTTTAGCGAGATTACCTTGTTAATAATAGAATAACCGTAGGTCATGAATTTCTGAATTATTGAAGCCTAAGTGATGCGAGAAGGCTAATTCGAGTAACTTGGCTATCCCAGCTTTATTGCTATCTCTCTATCGACGTAATCTAGGCTTAACACAAGCCGTTCCGGACGGAAAAATGTTAGCATCATCGTTGATTAGTCTGGCTAATTGAATTGGATCTGACACTAGATAACGGTGCGCATAATCTGGCTACCTGTCCAACAGACTATCTCTGATCTGAGACGGAGTTTATCAACACCGACAGTGATAATCATCGAATGGCATAGAACTGCGCAGTTCTTCCAGTGGTCCGATCTTTTGACTAAAAGATCGATAAAATGAATTATTTCAATGGATGTTGCCGACTTTATCTGCTTAGCCATAGAAATTCTTTCTTGGTAAACAATTTCCTGATTATCACTGGAATCTTCAGAACACACTGGAAAGCAGACAAACAACAACAATCTACTGCTATTTCATTCTGAAGGTTAGTCTGCTTCGTCAAGGTTGATCAAACCAGAGCATTGATAATCGAATGAATTATTAAACGGATACCTACGTTCAGTCTGGTTAAGTACATTCGAACTTCATTAGTTATAATCAAATTTAATTGTACGTTACTTGATACTTCTGTGTACATAGCATTGTTAATATCTTCTCGCTGGTTAAATGAATAAACACGAGCTCCAGTTTCATGATCAATTGCAGTTTTCAAACGGTCTTGAAGAATTATAGCTTGCTTACCACTTTGCTACCGTGGTTATGAGACTTGTGAAGTCAATGTTGTTCGGAAAATGAATTGGAATAATTGTTGAGCGAGTGGGATTGTAAAATGGAATTTCAATTCAAGGACAGGCCACTTTAGTTCACAGTGCACGTGAATTAAAAATACCAGGCTGGCTGCTATACGCATTAATGAATAAAACATTGGTACTCGACACCTTGTATCTGGTTGGTGAGTTCATTGAATCCTACAGCCAGACTTGTTTGCTTTAATTTATTCTCTTCCTTCAGACTTCATTTACTTCGATATTTATTCGCATTCAACCTGCACTCCTAGAAAATATGAAGGACTAAATGAAAGTTGGAACGAAAGGAAGATTGGCAATGTAAAAAAATTGTGCTCCTCATATTTTTGAACTTTTTATAAAATTTAACAAGTTAGAGAGCTTCAGTTGATTAAAATACACATCGTCCGTGTTCAGAATTTTCTATTACAAGGCATAATTTGAAAAGAATATTTATTTCTCTGGTGAAATAAATTGCTTTCCTTTCGGGTACAGTCGTAACAATTTGCTCGTTCGCCAGAAGGGTTTTATTTCGTCTAATGAAGATCTAAATCTAAATTTTCACTTAGCAAATATCATTGTGGTTTTTAAGGCACCAAGCCAGTCAAGTCTCGAATATCGTTGTGTCCAACGAGGACAGTAATTACATCCTTTATGGTGAGATGATGAATAGTCTCGTTAATTCTGCCTCCTATGTCATCCCGTATACCCGGAAGCACGTCTGGTTTAATAATGTCCACTACCTTCGGCGTGAGATCTTGGAATACCTAGGAACAAACGCGCAACAAAATTAATTATAGCAATCTACAGATATTGGTATCTGGGTTTCTCGGTATACCAGAATGTTGGAATACTGTTTGGAAACATACCTACAGGGCATCTAGAAATTTAGGGATATACTTTCACAGTATAGTGAAGTCTAAACACTGTAAAGTCTTCCAAACTTTACCGTACCTTGCTCATCACCTCAGCCAGCTCCTTGTCGCCCATGAAATTCTCCAAATTCACGTGCATGGACGTCAACCAAAAGTCTAAGTCAAACGTCTTCAAATAGGCACCTTTGGAGTAGCCTAACACGGTGTTCACGTACAACATGAAGTTGTAGATGTCTGCTTTGAAGGAACCAGCTCCACGAAGATGGACCATGCCGCCCAGGATTCCAGATATGTTATAATATCCTTCCGCATAGATTTTTGGTACAGTGAAGTTCAAAGTAATAGTGGGTCCAAGCAACGACAATTTCGCTTTGTTGGTCACGAAGGTGGACAGATTATGCACGATCAAATCCTCGATCATCAGAGACATCCTGCAAAAGAGATAAAGAACCATTAACCCGATGCCTCCTTTTTTCTAACGTTTAGATTACATCAGTTCCCGGAAGCCAGCATGATGCAAGTCAATTTTGTTGCTTCGCGAGGTGGCCAAGTTTCCGAGCAATCGTTCGATAAAGTATTCTGAAATTTATTCCTTTACCGACTTCCATACGTTCTTGAAGTTCTTAGGAACTCTTCCATTAGCAACTGTTTTCAAAGATTCTTTCATAAGTACTCGCTTCTTACTGAACCTCACTGGAGTTTTAGTTTCTTATAGCGTCGAGAAATGTTTCGATATTTTTTATCAAAAACTCATTCTAACTTTTTCGCCTTTCAAGTTAATTGGCTTATCAACTAGGAACTGTTATCGACTACTGTCCACACCATCTCTTAATGTTTACAGAGTTTGATTGCATAAGTACTGCTTTTAAAAACAAAACAGCAGCTTTACTATTTTACAGACATTTGATAATTCTTTATACATAGTGATATTCTGCAATTTCAAGCGAAGAACAAATGGCTTCTGCATAAATCCTACAGTCGTTCCTGTAACTTACGTCCCGAATTCTGGATTGTTGATGTTAATTTGCACCTCGTCGAGCTCCAACGGCTCTAATGGCGGTACACCTAGTTCCGGTATTCCGTATGGCATCCTGGCTCGAAACTTCTCGACGATTCGTCTCAGCTTGAACTCCAGACCTTTGGAAGCTGCGCTGTCGACTGTTCCATCGACGATTAATCCAGCGTTCAAAATGAACCACGGGTGAATCGTGTTTTACTTACTGTAGCCGGTGGTGACCCGAGTCGCGTTGATCAGCAGATTCCTTGGCTTCTCCACCGCGCTGGAGACTGGAAAAACAACAAACATCACGGTTCACTTCCTATTTTCTCTTCTAGGTTTCCCTGGTCACGCTCGCGATTGCAATCGTCCATGGAAAAGCGGTCTAGCACACGTGGTAGTGGATGCAGCGATGGATGCTCTCCCGGTTGCTGTGGAAATGGAAAATGCGGTGAGAGCCGATGTCAATGATTTGCTAGACAATTTTCAGTTAGAACAGCGTGTTGGATTAGCAGCCTACAGAAGATAATTGCTCTCAGGCTTTCTCTGACTGGATTCGGTATAGTCGCAATGTTTTCTAACATGCAGTTAACTTCGAGATCAAATAACCTGTGTTCTGATCTGAGAAATATGCCAGGATAGTCCTAATTAATCCTTTAAAGTATCGGAAAATGCAAAAAAGATGGGACAGACTTATACACTTAAGGGATGCAAATTAGTCCAACAATAGGACGCCTGAATTAATAAGCAGAGAATATGGAAATGCAAGAGACTAAAACATACACCGTGATATTAATTAAGATTCAGCAGTAATAAAAAGACATTCCAGCTTGCTGGTGAAAAATTATTTCGAATAAATTTACGCACAATCGCACTGTTTTGACGTTTTAATTACCGATTATCGCACTTGCTGACGTAGTACGATACGGTTATAATTACAATTATACTCGTGTTTCAAAGTTGATATAATATAATGAAAGAGAAAAAATACTAGCAAGATAGATCTCATAAATCATACAGTAAGTAAAAAGTAGTTATTTCAGTAATTCCCATGAATTTAACTCAAAAATATTTCTTAACTTCGCTGACATATACTTTCTCAAAAATATTGCTCAACATCCCTCAGTTCCGGACTTCGTTAATATTCGTAACTCCGTGTGATAGTGATCTAACTTATTTTCCTACAACGCCAGTACGATCAATTTCACCAGCAAGTTGGATGCGAGTGTGTGCACGTTATTAATCCATGGGAAAACGGGCGCTGGTTAGAGATGCTGCAGAGAAGCTTCGCAACTATCATTATTCCTTCAACCGGACAATTAGTCCACTGAGATCTGCCGATGAGTCTCAATTAGAGGCGTTGGAGAATGTGAAGCTTTCTTACAAACCCTGGCTTTCAAACTCGATAGCGATCTTCGATGTAAATCCTGAGAAAGGAGAAGAAGTTACATAAACTATGAAAGATTATTCCTACTTAGCAATTGTGTACTGGTTACCATTGTGGCCTGCAGTCACCTCTGATACACAGTGACCATTACAAGCACCCTTAGCACTTAATGATGGCTAATTGCTATCACATTTAGTGTACAGTTCTACATGGTGACTATAGTTATCTTCAGTACATACTGACAATTCATAATACCAGAATAAAACCAGAGTTTGAAAACCATAGTTCGAGTGGGTCGATCAAAGTATCACATACTGAGGTTTGAGGCTGATTCCGTCACGCGGTGTATCGCTTCTTTCTGTCGTTGCATGATCCCTGTCACTGGAACAAATACGAGTACATATACGGCACAATTGGTCTGGAGCAAACATCTATCATCCCTCATTTCTTTATCTTTAATTGATGAAACAGAGTAATAATAAAATAATGAATTAATTGTTAAAATCTTTGAAAATTGAGTCTGTCATGTTCAAGGAAACCGGAAGAAGAAGAAAATTAAGCGTTCGCCGGTGACAGTGACCGTGAGAACGGAAGTCCTTTGCATGACGTAGCGAGACAAAGGAATAACAAAGGTAATTCTAGAAGGCGAGAAATTAAATCGTGGAAAACGATCTAGTGTATACATTGCGCTTACGTGATCCTCCCGAATCACGTAATTTATTTCAGCGAATGCCTAACGACGTGAGAATAACAAAGCAATTGCTATTGTTACGCATTGATTGAGGGAACGTAGAGCTGAAATTGCACTCGACCAATACACATCAATGATTGTTACGCGTCCGATAAATCTCTTTTATCATGAATTCGTGTTACGATTGTTATTCGTTCATTCGGTAAAATTACAACGATCGGAGATTAAACCTGGGTGCAAAACTTATGGCGTAGGGATTTAGCGGATAAAACCGTCGAGTATTAATTCAATTACAATTTCGTTTCACTCGTTTATTGATTTAGTTTGGCATTAGCTCGTTAACCGGATCATTCCTCCATCACCCAAAGGGCATTTACGTTCTTTGCCTGTAATTAGAGGCGAGCAAAATTGTAATGTAATAACTATAAGTAATTTTAATTGTTAATCATTCATAATACCTTATAACAATCAGACAAAATAAAGGCGACAAGCTGAAGAAAGTTATCTCGAAGCCTAGACCTGACCTACAGAAACAGTATAAAAACTGTTTACATCATTAGAGTAAATGTTGTGTCCAATTTTTTAGACAAGGGAACGTTCATTTAGTAAATAACTGGAGATCGGAACTAGGCTTGAAAGTAACTTCACCCAATTTCCATTTCCTTCCAAAATGTCAGTTTTCCTGATTTACATACAACTCATTTACAAAACTTCCCGGAACAACCTGTTGCTATAAATTCTACACAACCAAGTCCATAAATCACTCATGTGCAAAGGATCCAGCTTCCATAAAGGACCCCAAGAAGGCACAATATAAATCTAGTCCCCTTCAACGATAATAACAATGAAACAAACCAGTGTCAGACCATAAGAAAGAAAGAAAACTCACGGAAATTTGTAGCACTAGTAGCAACATTTCCAATTCCTTCGAAGAGCGAGGGCGCAGGGTCCTCAGAGTTTGAGGGCACCACCTGTAGCGCTAACGCAATCAACAGAATCACTCTCCAGCCCATGTGGAATAGCATGATGACGGCCGTTTAAGGATAACTGAAACCGATTCTGTTTGAGATAATTGTTCCACGATCGACCAAATCACGCGCGAAGGACCTACCATTCGAACCGCTCTCGAAGAAGCAGGAAGGCCGACTGGCAAGATGAAAGAGTACGATGCACGAGTCACTCAGCTGACGCGCTTCTACACGTGTGTGTGTACATGACGTTGTACGAGGTACACGTGCAGGAACGTCCAGCGAAAGCGAAACTCTACAACGTGAACCATGAATGGTGTTCCGTTTGCCTACCCTTCAAGCTGAACGCTATTCACATTTATAAGGACCTTCTGAAAAGCTACGCGACGTGAGCTGTCCATATGCTAGTTCAGGAAATATTTGACGGACAGTACATGTACATTTTAATACTGTCCACGTTGCATTGACGGTGTTGCAGTATTCAGCTACTGACAAACTTGAAGTCTCCATTAGAAGTTCTCCATAATACTCCTGAGAATCATCCTTTGTTCCTAATGAAAGTAACATGGAGATAGCGTGGAAGTACCCTGTCACGTTTACTTTCATTTTTCTTGACTTCTTTGAACAATCTATGACTGCTTATGTCATTCCTACATCTTGATCTGATCTCTCAGAAAAGTAGTTCTATCAAATTGAAGTGATATTTGATCCTCAACACTGAAAGGAATTAGTAATTATTTTCTCGAAAGTGTAAGATAAAGGAGTTGAATGAGAAAATCCAGGAAGATTACCTTCATAGCTGAGTGCGCCACCACAATGTTATTTATAAAAAGTAGGGCGACGATTAGTCACTGGAATCCTTTGTCATAGTTTTTATAATGGTAATTGTTCGAACGCGTTGAATGAAAGGTAGGGAATCATTGATTTTTAAAACCGTAGATCCTGTTTAGGTCCTTCACAGAAAACAAGGATATCGGATGTAGCAGTAGATTAATTTCCGGTTACGTAGACCGGCGATATAATCGTATCGATTCCAGAACACTCTATAAGAATTTTAATCTAAAAATATTAATCTGATTATTTATGATTATATTTGTTGTTTGCAAATTAGAATTTTGTGTTCGTAATATTCTTCATGGCTAGACTATGAATTATAAGCAAGCAATGTCATAATACGGATACATTGAAATTCTTTTCAGAAGTTGGGCCTAATAAGAATAACAAATTAACACATGCCCAGTAAATATCTTCTACAAGAAGGCTGAATCATTTATGAACGATGCTAACCACATATAAAAGAATATAAACTTATATTTATATCGTAGATTCAAAGTTCAATATTTTCAACGAATGATTAACATTGCACTCTAATCTCATGAACTTTGCAATAATCAGTATGATAATATTAAAATATCAATTTTTACATAGATCTGTTTCCTAATTATATATAAATAGTTGTATATTTTTAAATTTTATCATTTTAAATGATAAACATTACTTGTGAATAAAGTTATATGTGTAAAAGGTTGGGCGCATTTTAACAGGTTGCTCGGTCGGTGCGGTAGTAACCCGCCATGTACAGGTTAAAGTTTTTCACAAGAGGTTTACGTGCCTCGAGTATTACGCAATTTAATAGCGAGTTCGCCGGTGTATATGTTACAACGTGGACGACATACGTGGTGAAGCACCGTGATTTCAATTCCATCGAGTATTCATCGCAACCTACACAAATAAACGAATTGTTAATGCATGTATGATGCTGTAGAAGTCTTTTACGCGTTTCTATCGTGTGTCATGTATCGGTTTATTAAAGGAAAACAAAGTTGATAATCGATGACACGTTCATGCAAATGTTTGATCTCAATTATCCAAGAAATCGAAGAATCATTACGTGGCATTCGTCACGTAAAGTGGTGCTGAAAGTAAAAAAGCAGGAAGCATTAATTTCTTATTCGTATATAGAATGCAATGCGCAATTTTTCTATTCCAATCTATTCATCTTTGTGGCTGCAAATCTAACCTCACAGTATTAATAAAAAGTTATCTGATTAAGATATAATGAGTGAGCGATTCTTTTATTTCCTAATTAGTCGCGAGATCGTGTTAGCAACATTGTTTACAGAAAAAGAAGACAAAAATATGGCGGCAAAATTGGCGCCAAAATACATACCTGAACAATGTTTAAACAATTTGACATTTTTGATACTTTATCCCAATTTCAATACTTATATCTACATATAATTGCTGCTGACATTTGTAATACATGTTTTTACCTTTAAGAATTAAAGTATTTATACTTCGCATGCATCAGACAGTAAAGATTCATTAGTACTTATTCGTGCGACCGTAGTTTCGGATTGTAGCTTGTACCTAAAAAATGATTTCAATAATAATTAATTCAATTATCTAATGTTATTTAATAAAGATACGTATTTTATATATGTTATACGATTAATTTACCTATGCACAAACCTATAATTACAATTTATGGAATAAAGGAAATTGACTTGTCAAGTGCGGTCCGCGGTTTCGATTAATTTATTGATTCATCCTTCGATCGACTCAAATGATAAAATATGCCAAATCTTATGCTATCTGTATCTTAAAACTATTTAATCATGACTTACCTTAGTTTATTGAAGCTTTGATTCTAAATTTCGTAAAAAGGAAGGAGGATACATTTCAGCAAATTTGGCAACGTGCACTGCTTGCTACATTGTTCTATGCACTAACTACGTTAATCTAGTTCTTGATTTGCAACTGTCATAATTTTATATTTAATTTATTTTCTGATACTTATATATATAATACTCTATCAATTTATTTATTTCTTATTTTTAAGAAGGAATTATTTCAATTATTTTATTCAATTTTTGATCGGAGAAAATGTTCCTGAATAGAGTAGAATCATATTTGACTAATGATATAACGGTTTTATTCGATCATTTCGGTTCGCAAATCGATGGGGAGAGGATGTCGGTGCAAGTGCTGGAAGATTTTAATGATTATACGTTCATTAAATTCATTAAAAAATGAGAAATATTGGTTTTCTATTAATGTTTGAGAACTATTTATGCAGAAATTAAACAGGTAAGTGAAAAATTATATCGGATGCAACATGTTTTTAAAGATGCGTCTGAATCTTTTTGATGTTGATGTTTGCGACAATATTGCTACGTAATTTTCACAAAAAGATATTTCTTCGTATTGCGATTACATAAAAGATCAAAGAATCAACGAAGTCAATAATATATTTTTAAGTGAACCGAACATACTATAATTTTCTGCTTGATTTTAATCTGACGCTAATTGTCAAATGTCGCTTCGTTTTAATCATCGCCATTATGCAACTTCTAAGTTGGTGTATTTGCGTGCTATTTTAATATATTTATAAAAGAATGTTATTTTGCATGACTAATTGCATATTGCAGGCAGTTAAATTCTACTGATATTTTTATTGACACAGGTAAGTAATACAATTTCTTTTTAATAAAAATGCAATCGGCCAATTTGCCGGTAATTGAACCGTACATTTTCGGCGCCATTTTCCACTTAACGGTTTCTGGAATGGTCTATTTGAATTTTTTTCAACGCCATTCCACTTTCAGCTTCTTTTTTACACAGTTTAATTGATTAAAATGATTTGTTCATAAAATTGAGCTATGAATTAATAAACTATGACTATGTAATATTATTCCAGCAAAAAATTTAGGTTTGGAAATTAATGAACCACTTTGCCATCATAAGATTAAGAATGATAATTCTGTAAGGACAAAATGTGCAGCATAAAAGACAATTGAAAACAAGGTAAGCATATTTATTTAACAATGTCTTAATATTAGAATTTCCCTATTATAATTATAAAATTGTATAAGTATTTTTCAAAGTAGCACGTGATATAACGTGTGGTCGTACAAAACGTGGTAATATAATGTGTGACGATGTGCATGCGATATAACGCATAGCAATATATCGTGTATCTATATGTATAATATTTGTTGTTAAAATGTGTAATAATATTTTACAAATTTTTCACGAAACTTTAGCAATCTTGTGATTATTTCAGAGCTCCACTGGCAGTAAAAGGATTGAATCGGCAGTTTCCGCATTCTGTACCATATTAGATAAACATTTTTATCGACGAGTGGATTCAGTGGTCGGCTTCGGATAGACCCAAGGATTTGGTGCATATGGCGGCCTCTGAGGTATGGGATATGCTGTTATAGCTCCTGATGGAACCGCGTTCGTAACTGCTTTGGCAACGATTAGCGACGCGAACATGCTAATGATTGCCATGACGATAATAGTAATTCCCTTTAAAGATGTCTGTAAGAAGTTTGAAAGAAGTTAGGAAGTCCTATCTCCAGTACCCGTTTAATCTTACATTTTAAAAATAGAGTTGCAAAATAGTACGGTTGACTTTACGATTCGTATATGAAAAGTAAATTACTTTTTGTGTATTCTAATTGGAGCAATTAGATCCACGTGATAACGTCTTATGGTACTTGGAAACCGCACTTAACAGATCTTTCGAGAAGCGCAACTACGAAATTGCCCGAGACTTGAAAGTAGTAATCATCGATCGAGTAAGTTTGCAAGTTGCTAGTACAAAGCTTCTTCTCTCTTAATCCCTCTTTGCGAACTCGAACCGCGTGAAACTGCACTATTGCAGGCATTTTAATAATGCAAATTCCGGCAAATGCAAAAGCAGTTTCGCAGCTATAAGGAAGTATTTATATTGAACGAATCGTTCGAAATTATGTCGTAAACAAAGACTATCTACTTTCTAGCATTCCCTAGAAATTTTAACTTATACTTTTCAGCAAGATAATCTGATATTTCGTTACCATGATAGGAGACTGCTACAAAATCCCAGGTAGTTCAAGGTGCTGAAGATGAGACAGGTTACATTTGCAAAAAATTCGCAGACTTTTATAGTCGACAGTTTTCAAGAGGTGGACATTTATCTGGGTCATAGTTAGTTGACATAAGATATGCTGCCCGTATGTTTCGAGGAATTCCCAGAACATTCGCACATCAAATTTATGGTGATTCGGGTTTTCCTGTTTCGTGGAGAGATTGTTGCACTCTTCGACTGTAAATCTATTCATCGACATGTTTCTTATATGCGTACAAGTTTCTGAGACTGATAATAATTAGCCTAAAGGCTTTTGGTGCCATCATCTTGCGTCAAAATTAAATCTTGCATTTATGAATCTATATGACGATGAATTGTTTGAAGTACGATTAACGAGATAACTGCGCGTGTGATTGCGACCTTTTTATCGTTCAATTAATACCAGTTTAACGGTATGGTTAAGCTGATTGTTGCCTAATGAAGCGTGATATAAGATCATTATTGATTGATGGGATTAAGGGATTGAGATATATGTATTATTATATTTTTAATTCTACTCTTGTCCGAATTGAAGAGGCTCAATGAAAAGTTAATCGTCACGATGATTTCCGTTTCTTAATGAAGTCAGGTTCTAATGAAACCAGGTTCAAATTCGAGAGAAACTGTTTGAACAAAATACATTGTAATACTTCAGATGAACGGGGTTAAAGTGACGGATTAAATACATCTGAAATTCTATACAGCAACGAAATTGTTAAGCCAGGGGGTATAAGCTAGAAATTGTAATTTGTATGCAAGGAATATTCCACATTTAATTTAATCACACCTACGTACAAACCTACATCTCTCTGAAAATGTACAATAAGCTTTAATTAAAGTACATATTTGATCGACCTATAGTTTGTAGAACTGGCGGAAGCTAACTTTTAAGTTGTTTACACAAACGATGCAAATTTTTTAGGGCATCAGATGACGTCAAGTTAATTCAGTTAATTATGCTATCTTCTTAACAAGAAAATTTATAGAATAATCATTTTCTGTTGCAGCGACGATGTTTGTTTAATCAAACGTATCACTCGATTAAAAATCTTTTCGTGATCTGCAGATGGAGGTGTTACATAAATGTTACACGATACGTAGATAGTTATGCAATATGACTTATTTGTTGTGGAATCAGAGGAATGTGGATTTTTACGAAATTTAATTGCACAAATTAAAGTCAAGATCTTGCTGACCGAAGCTGTAAGATACTTTTCTCTTTTCACTTCTTGTTTGGAGATCATAGAATTCTGTATGATAGGAAATTGGAATTTATTAGGGTAATTGTAAACTTTGCGTTTCAAATTGGAACAATAGAAAATTTATTTTCCATGTAGGCGAAGAGTGTTGAAAATTCTAACCAGTAAACAATCATTTAAGGTCCTTGACACGCTTCTAGTCAACATGCGTCGAATAGTAATTCATCTTGTCGAAAGTTGATACTAGATTTCATATTCGTCGCACGAACCGCTAACATCGAACAGATTTAAGTCTATGAAAAAAGTATAAAAAAGGGTATAAACTCTGACGTGATTTTGTTCACGAGAAAAACGATTCTATTTAATAATTATTGTTGATTCGTGTGACTCATACTTTGATCTTTTATTCATGATTGAACGGTTCAAACGTATGAGAAAAATATTACGATTTACGTCATCGGTTGCTTTATTTAAAGCTGAATAATTGTCCTTTAATTAATTTCTTCTCAATATTTAGCTCATTTATTTTACAACTCTTTTAAAATTTCTTTGGCACTTCGCTATTAACGATTTTGTAATTAAAATTTAAGCAACAAGTTGTGGTTTAACTCTTTCTTACATAAATTATGTAGAACGTACAAAATTTTCACAGGCACTTTAACTACTTTAAGTAGACAAATTATTTTATATTGTACAAGATATAACAACGTTACTTTTCAGTTCTCTAGACTTATGTAAAATTCAACATTATTCTCTAGTCTTAAAATTATGGCTATACAATTTATAATACAATAAAATCCACGTTATAAAATTTCGAGACAAAATTGAGCATATTCTGTATCATCTTTTTCTGTTGTTGTCCGCTTTATCAATTTCTATGGAAGAAGATGATGATGCCCAATTCGTTTCGTTGTCCATGTATTCAGTGTCCTCCAAGCGCAGATTGTTTCTCGTAGTAAAATGAATTATTCTGAAAGAAACGTATCTGTCAACTCTCTGCAAGTTCCTTTACGTTTCCGTTTTACTTACAAGATGAGAAATAGCACCATAATTTGGGTGGTGAACGTGAGCCAGTAAATAGAACTCGGTGCTGTGTTTATCGTTGCATTGTAAAGCTGAGAGTACAAAACTCCACTGAACAAAGGCACTGCGTTGTCACATACTGATAACATCGCGAATACTTTGCCTGCAAATACATTGTATGTATAAACATTCAACCTAGAAGTCTGCCAGTAAATAGTAAATAATTTTCTGCTTCACTTTGGAATGGAGAATCTTTTTAAAAAATGTTACTGTTCATAAAATACCTCGTTCTTCATCGGGAACAAGCTTTGAGGTCATCGACCTTAGAACAGGAGCTACAATTGGACCTAGTGCGGCAACAGCAGCACCTAGAACAAATTAATTTGTTACAACAGTTTCATATGTTTTATAGAAAGTAATGTGTTTCAATTACCAACGTAAAAAAGTTCAGAGATATTGGCCACCGCAAATAGGACCCTTCCTGCTGCATGGGAAATTGCTCCAATCGCCACGATTATAGTGTCCTTTATTCCCATCAGTTTGCTCATCACTGGGACTCCAACTAACATTGCTGGAATAGAAGGAATTTCTACATGAATGCCAAAGGGGAATTGGATCTTTTTCTTCCACTGATTAGAGCATGTTGGTGCAGAGAAATCTGCTAGTGAAAGTTTCTCCTTTACCGAGAATATTTCACCTTTCACTTGAATCGATTGGAAAATATCGAGAGAATTATTCGCTGAGAATAGTAGCTCTTCAATTTTCAGGAAATATAAATATTTCGACAAGCCTACAAGTTGACTTCTATCTAATAATGTAAGCCTACTTTTACAATGATTTCTCAGCTTTCTATGTACAACAAATGCAGTAACTGACCCAGTACGAATGTGGTAGACTGGAATGTTCTAAAATTGCTAAATTTCCCCACATCCCACTTGAAGATCAACTGTGTGTACAGAAAACTCATGGGTTTCTCGTCCCGTTGAAACGTGTACAGCATCATAATTATTAACAGAAGCCACAGATGAAGTTTGCCAAGTTTCGGCCTCTTCCTAATCAATGTCTTCATCGTCGCCACAACGTGTTTCTTATCAAAGAAGTCCGTCAACAAGTTGGTCCCCGCAAGAGTCTGCTGCTGTGGCAACGTTTGCCACTTGAGTCTTATCAGCGAGTATAGAATTGCTAAAGCTAACAAGCTCGCGTTTATTGTGAACATGATCGTGTACGACGAGTTGGTCACTGTCGTGTACAGATAGGATCCGAGAGCGACACCTGGAAAATGACATACAATTCTTAAGGGACAATTCTTAAATGACACAAGTCTGTAAGAGAAGCGGTAAGCGTACCAGTTGGCATAGTACTGAGATACACTATGTCCAAAATGGTGATCCGAAGAGTTCTCTGTTGAACGGAAGTTACATCTGATATGTAAGCAAAGCAACTGCCAAATATAGCAACGTCGCCGCCTAACATCCCCATAGGAAGACTAGCCGTGTACACTATGGTGTTCAGGTTCCAGTTATCCATCAGAGAGTTGATAACCACCATAAAGGAGTAAACGAACTTGCCGAGCAAGCCGATAACCAGCGGCAATTTTCGTCCTCGACGATCGCTCCAGTTTCCAAAGAACAGGGCCAGTATTATGGGGACCACGTGACCGGCTATGTTGTTCCATTGATGAAACTCTGATACCGTCACCTAAAGAGTGTGTTCAAATGGAACGCATTATTACACCAACGTGTCTTACTTTATGTATTACTGTTTTCACAAGTTGTATCGCATTATTTCAATAACAGAAATCTCTGTGAAGCAATTATGCAGTATAATGTGAAATTACACAATTTATAAGATGTTTGCCACGCGCTTATCTAAAGTACATACTTGAGCAACTGTTTTGTCAATCACTGGAGAATGGACTTGTGATTACTATTTATTTTTTCTTTATTTAGATACGCATGATTGAATTCTTTGTTTGCAAGTTGGAAATTACCTGTACTTCAGCTTTTATGGTCTCGTTGTCGTTTAGTTTTGAACAGACCTCTTCGGAATAACCGTGGTCTACGCGACAAGATTTGTAGACGAAGAATGCTTGCTCCACTACCGAAGTAATCATAAATGCCATCATGTACAACCACATTGTGGGCTCCACCGACACTTTTTCGACCCACTCGATGTATTTCCTCCATTTTCTGCGGCTTATTCTTACTCTTGCCTACGAAGAAAATATTTATTTTACGATGTTAAGACATTTAAGAGATTTTTAATTACTTTATTTACCTCTTGTTCCATAATTGTTCCTTTACTGATAGAAAATCTAAATGGACCGTTTCACGTAATCATCATTTATCGCCTGTGCAGTTTGAAGTTTTATACAATATTATTTGCACGTTTGATTCCTCATCAAGATTGCTGAGACCGTGAAAAATTTGCACAAGTGCCGCAAAACGATCCCCTGTCCTGAAAATATTATATATCATGCGTTCATATGAAAATCGTATATTAAATTTATGTGGATATAATACAAAAATATTTCATTTAGGGTGAAATTAAAAATTATAGCTTGATTAAACTTGTTATGAAAACTGTCTATTTTATAAAATTTATGTAATAGCTGTGGACTTCTTATTAATTATTTTTTTTCTTTCAGCTGGTATTACATATGGTGCTGGATACTAGTGTCATAACTTGTTAAAAGGAGTCAGGAAATAAGAACAAAACATCTGTAACCGGCAGTGGTGTAATTAGTAAAATAACAGACGGAAAATCAACAGGTCGCAAGTTCGCAGTGAGTGCACTCACGAGTATTTAAATGTATGAAATAATTTATTATCTGCATTGACAATGTTGCAACGAATTGAAGAATTATGGACATTTGCTGAACGAATAAAATAATTGCACTGCGAGGATATTTCGATAACAAGTATTTATAACGGAAGTCAAAAATTAAGTGGATTGAATCACATTTGAACTGTGAATATAATTAAGAATTCAGTCAAGTTTCAAATCGCGACATTTGGAATTAAGTGGAATTGAGTTACATTAAATCGCGGCGAATATGAATCACATGAGTTGTCGAATTAATCAAATCGTATCAAATATAATTAAGTCAAATCGAATTGTGTCAAAGAGTTTTAAGGCGACTTACTTATCATGAAGCATAATTTGCCGAATTCTCATACTCGAAATTCTTCGATAAATTGTTTCTGATGCAATCGTAGTAACGGAGACCGCCTGTCGATGCCAGGATAGTAACTAGACAATTAATGCCTCTATTCTAACAATAAATTCCAAGAAACGACTGCTCACATTACTCCCTGTTAACAGTTCGATTCTGCGTTCAATTACTGTTCAACGAAAACTTCGTTTTAAAAACGTATTTGTAAAAACAAAAATTCAGCGAGTAACACGAGGAACTACTTGTTCATTCAACAAGGTTGAACGTCTACATCGCGCCGATATAAGTAAATTGACTGACCGATTTCTCTTATCAATTTCGCTTATACTCTTATCATCCTTTTATTCTTAACCTTAGTCGCTGATAACTGGATTTTTACCACATGTAAGGATTCTTGTCATCAATGATAATCACGTATTTACATGATTTTTATTTTAGATAAAGAGGTTCGTGATTATCATGAAGACTTACAGGATGTTTAAGGATTTTATGTGAAACTAAAAGTGGGACGAAGTATTTTATGCGCTATCGTTATGTGAAAACACGCTCGTCAAGCAATTAACACGTATATACACATGGAGAATAAGTGCATTGGTGACTGGCATGCATAGTTTCCTGAGGAAAAACAGGAGTAGGAGGAGGTTCACCAGGTTGCTGTTTGTTAGATTTTGAAATTTAAGAATTTTGAAATCTGAACATTTGGAAATTTGTAATTTACAAATTTAAAAATTTTATGTGTAAACAATTTTAAGTTTCCACATTTAATTCCCTAAAATCGGGGCTAACCGGTGCGAGTTTCCCTCCTCTCTACACCTGATTTTATCTAAAGGAGATCTACATTGCATCAGAACACTAGGCTATTATGTACTCAACATCTTCAATGAGGAAATTACGCCTCTTAATTTAAGTCTTTCGCTATCAGTCGAAAATCACATGACTTTCTGACTTAAAAACCTCATTCGAAATCAAACAAATCTTTCTAAATTTTTTATTGGACTATCAGAAATTGATGAAGGTATCTAGTTCTCTACTGCTAAGTTTAACTAACCTTTCATGTGTCGTTATCCATTAGAAGGCAAAGTAGTCCTATTACAGAGCGATGATTTGTCGATAGATTGAATCGAATCCCTCGAATTCATATTGTACAGCCGGTCAAACGTAATGGAATACCAGGAGGAACTGTAGCCACGTGCTTCACAACTGTTTCTGTAGAACACTGTTATCGACCGCGCTAGCCAGTCATTGCTGCCAACGTTGCCAGCTAAAAATCTAACGAAGATGGAGGTCAGCACTGATAGAACACTATGTCGCTACGTTCTGCACGTCGTTTGAATTAGAAATTTGAATCTTACAACTGCAGGGCAGTTTTTGGAGATTTAGAACAATAAAAATTTATTGAAGCGTTTGAAGAATTCCTACAGAGCTTATGCGACTCTAGGCTATTCCTCAGTAATTTATATTTTTGAAAAGACTAGAAAAAGCTTCATGGAACTGCTATAGCTTGTTAGAGTCAAATTAAGACCTTCAAACACTTAGAGATTCTGGTACTTCATCTTTTACATTTATATCTAATCATCTTAGTAGTCTCTTTCTTTGGTTGCTAGGAACATGTCTAGGTGAATTAGAATCCTCGTTAGTAGCTTTTTATTAAAAATTTATTCCACATTATATTCCTGACAAATCACATCGCGCGAATATATCTATGATGTACACATGATTCAGTACAGACTTAAAGTTTGCTTTTAGGCCATCGAGATTACACGGAGGATGGAAGTAGAGCAACAGTTACGTTCCTAAATTGTTGGCAAAATATTTCTTTCCTTCTCGCTTTTTTACCGATTGATTGTTTTTCAACTGTTTGCCATTACAGACGAGTATTGCAGAAACAGAAAAACCGCCGTTGTCCAGCAAAAGTTAAAAAGTTTCAAAGTTGATTCGACAGAGGATTTCTACAACACTAGCCAATAACAGCTTGGACTTTCAGTTATTTCTAAAAAGCTAACAGATCCTTAGGCTTTGATAGCACTATACACTTGATTAACTTTTTATATAGTCCTCTTAAATATTTCTTGTATCCTGTAACAGATACTTTGATCCTTTTGTAAGAAAGTAGCTGCAAAGTATCAAGAAAGAAAATTGTGCGTTTGATATAGTTTAAGATTGCGTTATGATTTGGGAACAGAAATGAAATGTTTATGCTTTTCTAGATCCGCAAGCTGACACATTAAAATTTCTAATTGAATGCCTCGCAATTCTGCCAGCAAACAAAAGGAGCTATGAATTTTGACGGCCATCGACAACCAGCTATTATTTAGAAGTCGTAAGACGTGATCGTCAAAGGATCAAAGGATCTACCAGTTTCACCTTGATTTTCACCGATGGCCCATGGTCTTTCACGTAGATTAACATTTATTAACAGCTGGACCTGCCAGCAACATCAAAATATGAACATTTAATTGTAATTTCGCTCTATCAGCCAACGGTTGAATTGACTAATTGTTACGTTCATCATGACACTATGCGAAGGAACGTAGCAATACGTTTACGTTCGTACATTCTCTTACAACCTGTGCGCGGACAAATATTCCCCAGGGACCGAAGTGAAATTAGTCTCGCCTAAAATATCGAAAGTATACCAGGTCTATCTTTCCGACGAGATAGACTTCTAGAGGAGAGAAATGTAAAAATAGAGTTGAGTCTTTTCTTCTCGTTCCAATGTCGCGAAACTTCTATTCCCTTCGCTTGTATTTTTCGCGAAAACATACCGTGGTCCCGTTTCCTTTTTGACAGAAATTCCTGAAACGAAGAAGTCAGCCACGGTTTCGTTGTATCGAGCATCCCTTGTCGCGGTTATTCGTTTCTTTTTGTTTGTATTGACTAGAAGAACCGTGGACACGGCATAGCGAACGCAACTTTCTTATTCCTGCTATGGAAATAACACGAAAAACCATTCGCCAGATAAGATTTAAGTACAGGTATCTTGTGACTTTCTGAAAGATACACGGAGAGAGGTTTTTGAGCTACCATTGAGAGATCGATCGAAAGTTGGACGTGTTCCATTTTATTTCAAGATTCGCGGTTCGAATCAATATTCATCGAATAACAAAGATGTTCTAGATCAGTGAAATGACCTTCAAGGACTAAGATATAGTGAATTCATCTTGCATCTACATAGTCCACTAAACAAAAACATAGAATTAACAAAAAAAGTCACTGCAATCTTAGAGGCAACTTCACCTTGACAAGACTTATATTACCCTATTTGTAACGAATAATATTTGGTTCACTTAAAATGGAACACCCTGTACAGACTTCAAACCACGAGTTCTCCTTTTACGCCTCAACTATACGATTAGTCTCAAATGTTCAAATTTTCATGGAACACTAATTAACATTGAATAGTTCCCAGTATTTGATCAAGATTAATTTCAGTGCTTCTTCTAGGTTGCCTCAGGAGCAGTTCACGCGTTGTCGTTGTTCATCTTGGTTTCGTTGTTGACGTTGGTTGAGTTTCGAGGACCATCAAGGAAATAGGTGATCATGCTGCCCTTGCCTTTCACTTGGATGCTACCGCGACAGGTTAGGGGATATCCTTTGGTGACCAAGATATCGTGGACTTCCTGAGTGACCTGAATCCCGTCCAAGACACCGGTAGACTCCATTCTCGAGGCCACGTTTACCGCGTTACCCCAAATATCGTACTGCGGCTTTCGGGCGCCTATCACCCCGGCAACGACCTACATGAAAAACAAGTTGAAAATATTTTTTCTCTTCATTCTGTTACACAGAAGTTCATACTTGTGACAAATGACTTCAATTCAAAAGAAACTGAACATTCGATGGTAATTTCGAAGAGGTACTTTCAATTCGAACGCTATACGTTAAAATCTCGATCAATTTCAGGTCGAAAATTTGATGGGAAATTCAGAGAGCACGGTCGAACCGTTTCAGTTTCAGGATAGCATCGTGATAGTTTGGCTGGGGAAATTGATTGACGTTACCGGTCCAATATTGATGCCCACACGCAACCGGAAGTTGTTAAAGCTGTGTTCATTAACGGAGGCCAGCTGTTCCCGTATCCTGAGCGCGTAGTCTGCCATCGCGGTCACGTGTTTGTAATCTTTCATGTCGCAGGTGCTCTTCGTCAATCCTGCGAAAAGAAATTCGAAGATATCCGTGAAACGTCTGCTGCAGAAAATTCAATTCTTGAGATCCATGTTCTATTAAGAGATTGAAGATTTTTGAGAAAAGGATGATGCTCACCGGAAGCTGCCATGTATGTGGCACCGGTGCTCTTGATCTTCTCGATGTATTTGAACTGTTCTTCCGCAAGGAGTTCGTCGAAGTCGGCTATGATCTCGTTTAGAAGCCTTAGACATTCAACACCCTCGTTGTTCGCTTCCAGTTCCACGTAGAACTCGGAGAAGTTCGGTATCGAGGCGAACATTATGCAAACGAAGTCGCACTGTTCGTGATACAGCTCCTGCAGAACGCATAATTTACTTGTTTCAAATCAAGTCAGACGGTCAAGCTACTTTTTCACGCAAAGACTGTGTTAGTTGTAAATAGCCTCTTACATCAGAATTAACCGTGGAAAGGAAGTGTGCAGCCACGTGTTCCGGAAGTATGTTCGCCAATAGCTTTTGATTGTAGGCCTTCAGATGTTCCATGTCCTCTTTCTCCTCCGTCGCTTGCAGTTTCCACAGAAAGTCCAATCTGTGTTCATTCATCGAAACGATCGATCAATATTCAAATCACCCTTTCGCGGAAAAACGATTCGATATAAATTCCTGCTATTTCGCCTTTCCAACGAAATAGGGATTAATCTCCATCCGTCGTTAAAATTAAATTATCCTCTGTAGTTAAGCTAAAAGTTCCCGTATTCCATTCAAATTAAACTCGATGGGACGTAGGACTTGTTCGTGGAAGTTCAGAATTTTCATACTACTGAATTAATGTTAGAGTTGAAAAGAATGAATCATGATTTCAAGAAATAAGGAAAATCTTTCAACTGTCAAGATTATATAATCTATCTTGAAGATGTCGGATAAAGTGAAGAAATATTTCCTACCTGTAAGTAGCCTCGGTGTGCTGAGAGTGTGCGACCAGGCAGGTCATGAAGAAGACCACTAGAACGCCAGCTAACCAGCGCCCGGTTAGTTCGACATCCTTCTCGTGCAGAGCCTCGTGGATGCTGATCGCGAAATAAGTAGCCACCACCAAGCTTAGTATCGCCACTTTGAACACGGACGTCAGAATTTGGTAGACGGCACAGGTGATCATCACCAGCATCACGAGCACCGGAAACAACTGCAGTTATCAAGTTAAGACTAATTCCTGTAGAACTTGCAGCATCAGGATGATAAAGGAAACATCTTTCACTTGCAACTGTACTATAGGTTCATGTAACTTAATAGCAATGCGGAGAGTCAATTCCTTAGGAATCATTAGAACCAGTCGATTAGACTTACATCAGCGAAGACGGTGTAATAGCAAACATCGACGGGCGCATCGATGCTCTGGAAAGTGACGCTGGAATTATCCGGCCATTCGAGAAACGATGTACCGTTGCTGCACACGCGGCCACTCTCAAGCGTCAGCTACGAAAGAAACAGACGAAGATAGATCGAGTTATTTCTTCTCTGGTTGCTTCATCTTCATCTCTCGTGTTAACGATACATCAGTCTCGAGCGCAGGGATCAGAGGATCGTGATCGGTTTCATTAATCATAAACCGCTCCCGACTGTACGAAATTCATCGTTCGGTGCAATGACACCGGTGATAAATAGCAGTCACCCGTTGTTCGTTAACACGCTGATCGGTGATGTGTTCCTGACTATCGATGTGCCAATATGTCACTTGCAATACGTGTCAAGTTCTGATACATTGGGGTATAGCAATTTTGATCGGGTTTTGCGGTGTATGTACTGGTAATTCCGTTGCTCTTAGACATATTACTAGGTTACACGTATTGCTAGGTTTCAAGTGTTACTGCATTATATGTTTTTTATTTGATTATTTTAGATAGTAATCACTGTGCTTTCATTTGCAGTTGTGCATTGTTATGGGGTTGGATATTATAACGTGTGGAGCTTACCAGTGGTGACAAAGCAGTGATAAATGTGAGGAAAACGACGCACGTGGCCAAGGCCTGCGCGACCCCTCGGTTTTCGAAGACGTGCACCGCAAAATCTCGAAGACACTGGGGCACCTTCTGAAAAATATATTGTTCCTCGTGTCAGTTTCATGTGTAGCCATTACTTGTTGTTATTTTGTCTCGGTGTTAGAAGCAACGGGTGACAGGGCGGAGCGGGTGAATCGATGATTTCACCGGTGACCTGGAATCTCGCCACCAATTCAAGATCAAGAGGAAGTGGCAAGGTTCCAAAGGGTCTGTCCGGGTAATCGATTCCAGTCACGACTGGATATCGCTCGAAACGTACAACGTGTAACCTCGATTATCCGAACACCGGTTCGTTTTACGCTCTATTAACGCATCTCGCACCGCAGCTGCCACCCAAAAAGTTACTTAACCATTGTAGGGAATTTCGACGCTGTAAAGCCTGTTTTTTCAAGGTGTTGCTAACAATAGAGACTAAAAAAAATCTGTTACTCACCTCGTTCTTCTCTGCCAGTAGAATCCCATTGATCAGAGCTATAAACAATATACTCACTGCTACGCACGTGTAGAAGTACACGCTCCTAAAAGACAAATTCCTTTTTCAGAATTTTCATTTCAACCGAGGAGTTAAATCGGCACACGTTTAAGGACGTTAATGACATCTAACTACAGCGAATAGAACATATTACTACGTTATCGGAAACCAACTACTGCGAATAAAAGGAAAACTGCAACTATTGAAAACAGATAGGATATGCGGCTACGTCAGTTGCAAAAAATCACCGTTGATAAAAAACAACACGTTACTGCAGCAACCAAAGCGACAGTTTAGAAAAATAAATAAAAAATTAGGCTACGGGGTAATTTAATTTATTTGACATGGTTTGTTTACCCGTACAGAGTGATTGCTATGGCAATCACGACTACCATGTACACGAAACCGGAGCACACAAAATATGCCGACAGCATCCGATCCCTTTCGCGAGAGTACTGCAACAAATCGGTAAAAAAGGACTTTTTATCGAGTGTCGTGCTGTAAAAAATTTGAGGTCGTAATCATTCGAACGAACACATTTTTTGTAATACGAGTATTAGAATGTAATTAATTTTATCAGTGGCTACTGCCTCAAATTGAATATGCTCGAATTGGAGAAGATAATTAAATAATTGTATGCTTCATAATTATTATTTTAATTAGTGTTTTACTACGTACGCTGAATTTTACCGCGGTAATCAGCGCGTTAATTATTGAAGCTGGGTGCCTTGATTAATAAATCAGTTTATTAATCATGAGAGTTGCGGACAGGTTTTCAAATGATGAATATTAATTACTTAACGCGAATCGTTTACCTTTTCTTCGACGTTCGGTTGTCGGAAGGTTAAAATAAACGGCGTGCAATATTCGGCCCTTAATTGATCTATGCTCCTGGCGTCGATGGCCCTCATCAGGTACTCGTCCACCACGTCCTCGGGAACTTTCTTACTCTCAGTCGCTTCTCCAAAGCCCAATCTATCATAAAAGTCATAATTTTCACAGAACGTCTGGTAATGCGAGATAAGAACTTGACGGAACACAGATTCTTGTATTCGCTTGTCTCGCAGTATCGATTACCGTTCAAACCTGATACGTTAAACTTTATGAAATAAAAGTCGTAAGAGATCGCGCTGGAAATATCGATTTTCAACGTTTGCGTTTCCGGCAATTTTTCTAAAAATAAAAACGGAATACGATAAATCTAGATTTATAACCGAATGCTTCATAGTTTAAACAACGATAAATTCTACTTTAAAATATTATGTTTAATAACCATTAATTTGATCGTGAAGTTTTAAACTTCACAAATAGAGATAATGTCAGATTGTACGAATGTCCTACATACGAATTTAAAAAAAATGTTTGAAGTTTATGGTGTATTTTTGAAAACATTAATTAAACGTAGAATGTGAGCAGGCAGTTTTGCAAAATTTATAATGTTTTGAATTCCGTACTGTTTCATCAGTATTTGGGAAGAACGTAATAATGCATTGTTAGAAGGCAGCTGTACACTTCTTCTTCAGCTAAATTTATAGTAGACACTACTATACCAGTACGTGATAGTAGATTAATTTCAATTCGTGAAACCAGAACTTATATACCTTTATTATTTGATAAATGGCCGAGGTATAAGAAGAAAAGCGTTGTACGTGAAAATCGGGAAACATGGGATGAAAAGATGAAATGGAGTGGCTTACTTGGCTTGTTTTCCACGTTGCGACCCGTGACCCATCACCCTCATCTCTTTGGACACGTTTCCGTTCGCTGGCAAACCTTTCCTCAACCCGGAAGAGGGTATGTTACCCTTGTACGTGTCCCCCGGGATGATCAGGTAGGTTTTGATATTGTGCTCTTTCAGGTACGCGTTTCTTTCTCCTCCTCGACCCTCCTCCACCTCGTAGTAGCCCCCGAGACAGTCCAGTGTCTCTTTCGTGATGTGGACTCGTCTGTAGGGAACAATCGTTAACGCTGATTTAATTGGACCATCCATTGTGTTTAGCTAAAGTTTGCTCGAATGAGTCTTGGATCGGTTCTGATTCCCTGGCGAGATGTAACAGTTACAGATTGTAACAGCTATTGTTTTTACTGCAGTTGAGAATGCAATTTTTACAGCTTTTGCTTTTTTCGTTACAGTGAAAACTGATGAAAATTAGTCACGGTTCATACATTGGGAGATCTGGATGTGATTGGATAAATTCAACTACTTCGAGGATTTGCGGTTGCACGAGAAAAAAGAGACGCGTGAATTTCCAGAAATACTCGCCACCATAAATATTCTCTTTCCAGTCACACGAAATACCTGGGAGCGTAACAAAAAATTATTTCGACTATAAAAAAATGCAGAAAAAGTGTCTTGTACGTTCTGTGCGTTTCTGTGCAAGCGTCTGCATGATGGAAACAAGAAACAAAGGTAGAAAATGAATGAACGTTGCATCGTATCGCACCAGTGATCGCACTCCCATTTCTTTTTTTTCAATATTCTCGCTCTGGATTCTCTCGTTTCGCTGAAAATTTCTCTACCGGTGGGCGAGATAAAAGGAAGAAAAAAACTGCTAGCTTGGCAGAGCAACCGAGTAAAACGAGTAAAACTTACCCTGGTATACCACCACTCTCCATGTAGTTGGCCAAGGTGACGTCGTTGCTCCAAACGTCGAATTGCCACTTCCTCAAGCCGAGGACACCACAATGAACCCTACCCGTGTGGATGCCCACTCTCATGTTCACGTTCACGGCACCCACCTCTCGATACAGCCTGGAAGAAAAGGGGATCGATTGTCCTTACCGCACAGGGTGTCTGTGCTAACTTATCACAGCCTTGCTTTTTCAACTTTTAAGATACACAACAAATATTTGCGTAGATAGTATACGTGTTGTCTCACACAACACGTGCTGTAACTATGATGTCAGTCAGCATATTAATATCACATAAATGTCAATTTTGAAAATGATATCATGACATGGAAGTATCATAAGATACCGCTATATCAATTTAAAAATTTATTTTTGCTTAAACCGTCAGTGTAAGCTGTTCATAAATATTCTCAGTGTATAATAAAATACAGGCCTCAAGGAGGATATACATCATAAAAACCGCAAATTACTTTGCCAAAATGAAAGTTAAAGGTCGTATAACATTCCGGTGAGGTTGGTGGCTAATAAATTCAGATTAAGGTGAATCTGGTATATTTTTGCTCCTGTTTTTCCTCCATGGCTGTAAAGTCTCGCTAATCCAAGAGGCTCCTTTAATTCAGACCCCGTTAATCCGTATGCCCGTAGAACCATCTCGTTATTCCGGATTAACGCATTATGCACTATCATTGTATTCATACCCCGGTAAGCTCGGACTCCGGGTTATTACAAAGTAAATTATGGAGACCATAAACTCGACAGAAAATCTCGGTATATTTGAAGCTTTCTGATGTCGGGGTACATTAAGAGCGATCGTTCGAAGATGTTATTTGATTATTTTGTTTCTATTGTCAACAGTCGAGACTCATCTTTCGCCTTTTGCAGAAAATTGCGCACGAGGGAGTGGCCAAAGGAAACGTCTTAAGAGCCGGAAACAAAGTAAACGGGTCAAAGTAACCCGTAGACTCCAGAGACAACAGCTCTTGGCGTTGGTTCTAGTTACTCGTGGTTAAAAAAAAATACGATGCGTCGTCAAAGGGATGATTTCCTTGGAGAATAAAGGAGCGGATGATTTTTCTATCTTATCGAATCGCGAGTTCGCGATCGACTTGCAACAAAAATTTTCACTTGGGATCTGAAGGTATAAGAATATAGGTATTCTGAGGCGATTTAGAAAATCTTCAGACGAAAATGTAATATTCTATTTAATTCCCTCGTGTGCAGTTGTTTCACAATTGTTTTGTCCTTCACAATTCTTCCATAGTTTCAGAAGAAACTGATTTGTCGAGGCCACCTTGTTGGCAGCTGGTTTCTATTGCTTCTCTGATTCACTGTTACTTCCCACTGTCTTTCTTGCAGACAAAAGTTTGGTCGAAGGGAAAGAAATGCTCTTGAGGATTTCATGAAAAGCCGGACGAGTTGAATTACAAGTGGAGGGAAGGAAACTTACGTAATTGCACTGATCATGTCCAATCCCATTTCTACGCAACAGCGAGCGTGATCGGGCCTCGGTTCCGGAATTCCAGAAACGCAATAATAGCAGTCTCCGAGCAGCTTGATTCTAAGACAATGATGTTCGGCTGCCAGAGTGTCGAAGCTACGGAAACACAGACAATTCGTGTATAAACCACCTCAAGTCATCTATGTTTTCATAATATTATTTGCTAGCAAAATCAGGATCAATCAAAATGAGGTCATGCAGATATAAGATCCTACAAAAGTAGTATAGTATCGTATATAGTCAGACAACCACTTAAGCGCTAGCAATTAACGCATTGCTAATATAACACGTTATTCCACAGACTACAGAAATGTCTAATTTCTCTGAAAGCGCTACTTCACACTTAGATTTGAAACTCACCAGGCAAATAATTTATTCAACAATCTGACGACCTCCTCGGCAGTGCACTGATCCGAGAGCGAAGTGAATCCACAGATATCCGCGAACAAGATGCTGGAAAAAAGAGTTCGAAACAGGTTCTTCGTTGGCACTGGTTCTCGTAATTAAGCCACGGGTGTTAATTGGAATTCATTAGCGGCACGTCGCGCGACTTAACGAGCCACTAGCGTCAGACCCGTGTTACGCTCTAACGTATGATAGACGCGCGTGTATCAGCTTGATGCATAATGGAGTCGAATATCTTCGTGTTCCGGCGAACCAAATTATTCGCTCTTCAAACTCTGTAGTCGTGACACGTGTCTGTTTCATACGATTCAAGGATTTTTGTGCTTCAAGATTCGTAGAATGTTCGATGAATATTAACGTAACTCAAAGTTCTCGCTTTGTAGACTTTTGACGGTGCTCACCTGACATTCTCGTGTCTTTGAATGTAAATTTTATGAAACATAGTATCCTTCGGCTTGCCAGCAATGTCGGCCTTCATCTCCATGGCTACGTGTCTTGGTAGTACGCTCAATAGAAGCCGTTCCTGGAAAAAATTAAACGAAGTTTCTCTTCATATTGTAACATTGTTAAGTACTGTAAGGGCGATGGAGGGACATGTACATTGGACCATAATATTATAAGGTCTGGATACGGGGGTGGCAAGTGGACAGAGATGTCAGCGCCATTGGTGGTACATACATCACAGGGAATAGAATTGTAGATGATCAGACAAGTGATACGGAGACAGACGCTATGGTCCGCCAAGTAGTAAGGGAGCGATCCGTAGGTGGTCAGACACGCTGTTGAAGAATGGGACCACACGTGGTCATACGAATGGTTTAGGGACAAGGTCGTAGGTGGTCTTGTAAAAATAGAAACGATAGAACCATAAATAGTAGCAATGCTATACACTCGTTCAGTAATAACATTTCGTCGTTAATAATTTCATTAGTTAATGTATAATAGCTGGTGGTAAAGTGGTAGATAAATTGTCTGTATAAATTTTTCAAGCTGGAAGAGTCGTAAATAAAAGCAACTGCTGAAATTGCTTAATTTGTTGGAGTATTAACGGACACGCGTAGAATCGCTTCCTGAATCTCTCCGGTATTCAGAGTCAGTCAGTTAATTAACCGTGTTATGCAGAGAACTTGTGTTACACTTAACTACCCTCAGAAACCTAAGATGTCGGGTGCATAGTTGCGCGAGTTTCAGCCATTTACCGTAGAAAATACCGAATCTGCGGAGAGGAAACGTCCTCGTAATTTCTTCGAAAAATCTTATCTGTTATTTGCTTTTAAGACTTCTGTTTAATAAGTCTGTTACCAGAGTAATAATTGTCAATGTACAGCTAAAATTTGAATGAATGCGAGACAGAATGCGTATAGAATGTACGGTTAAGAGTATTAGGTCGGATACATGAAAATATGATAGGTATTTCCGGTTGTTTCGGTTTGGATTATGAAATATGCAGATTCGATCGTCAATGTCGCTGAACAAATCTACATCGGGTTTGGTTTCTCCTATTACGAGTGCCGATACATTACGTGATCGAGAGTCTGAAATTGCAGAGGCCCTTTGCTGTGGTTAATTTAACGCGGAATAAATCGATCACTCGGCTCGTGATAATAGCTTCTGCACACCTGTATGACGTAAAATCGAATCCTTGGTGATCGGTTAATGTGCAACGGTCCCCTTTGCCGCTGGAAGTCACGTAGTTCTACGTTAAATCCGATCGTGATGAAGTGTCCATTAGTTTCAGTACTACGATGCGCATTGTATACAGGATTTAGTAATCAATGGTTCTACAAGATATTCGATCCAATTTCCAAGAATTATTGATGTCGTTATTTTTAGACTGCAGCGCAAATTAATATCTTAAATCGTGTTTCAGGTACGAAGAAAGGGGATTCGTTGATCTTATTATTATTTCTCAATCAGACTGGATCGAGGAGAGACTCTCTTTGGAACGACTTTAATTGCGTCTCCAGGAAATTTCATCGCGTGCGAACGAAATTTCATTTCATTTCGTTAAGGAAAGCGTAATTCGGTCTTGTTCCGTGAAAACAGTCGAGAAATTGATTTTCCAATTTACTCGGTCCCATTGTCACCGTTCTTCGATCACCATGCTGGAAATATCCGCCAGAGGATTACGTACAATAGCTAAAAAAAAATACTAAATTTGATCCAGCTACTGCAGAAGATTTCTGCTATATTTTTAGAGAAATACATCAGAAGAAGCTTCAATGGCCAGATGTTTCACGAGACCCCAGTGAGTTGGTAAAACTTCTGGATAGATCAAACGTGTTTAGATAACGTACGGACTTTTTATATGTATAGATGGAAGATTACTCTTCCGGTGTCTCGCAATCCTCGTTAGTCATTTGATCTGACACGAACGGTAATGGATAGAGCAGCATTTCAACGGGAGCCCAAGCTTATCGGTTCCCGGAAAACTGATCAACTGGGGAGAGAAAGACGGCGGAGGGCAATGCATTAAGATAGCTTTTGAGTCGTTTCATCGTGGAATACACGGCGTGTCTTCGAACTTCGTGCAAGAGATGACATCGAAGGCATCTTTGAAATATTAATCTTTCAACGGGTTCGTGCCTCTAGGCAACATTACTACTCTTGCCAGTGAAGCGTATGTAACTTACAGAAGATACTGATTTGCGTGGGACGGAGGTGATTTAAGCAAAACTGGATGCACATGGCACTGCGTAATGTATGAAAAGAAAGTGATATATATATGAGGAGTGATCATCTGAGAACTTTGATTATAAAATGTATCAACATTTCACGTTCTCACAGTGGTGCTGTGAATTTAAATTAGAAACGCAGCACTCCAAAGAATTTATCAATAGAATCACTGCACTAGAACATAAACAAGAAATGTAATAGTATATTTTTAATTTAAAAACTTTAGTATTAGTGGTTCTATCGAAGCAGCAATTTATCAAGGAAGATGATCCCATATTACAGGATCAGTTAGATAGAATTCTGGGTACAAGTTGTAACGCTACGTGATTCCACGACGAGGGATTTTACAAAGAAACCAAGATTTCGTGATTGCGCAGCAATGTGGCGGGTGTACGAAGTTCGCAGGGCTTATCAGCGCGACGCGATGCACACGCGTCGCTTGGCTCGTGTGCATCCATAAAGTTTCGTCAACGCAAACTCGTCGTGTCTACGCGAGTGGATTGAACGCGTGCCAAAATGCATTCACGTTTTAACGGAGATAAGCTAATTCGCCTCGACCCGTGACCAACACGGTCGAAAAGTTCCCTTTCGTTACTCTAACTCTTTGAAAACGAAACTAAACGAATAATTTTGTAATTCTGTAGAACTATTAGCGAATCTGACCCATTATTTTGTAATTGTAACGCTCTACTTTTATTCAGAATTATAAACGTGAGAAAGTATTCCTTTGTGAACGAGTTTATAGGCTACCGAACGGAGGAATTCAATGGATATTCAGTTTCCGGGGTAGTTAACCGGCCAAGCTTTATTTTCAGCGGCATGCGAAACAATTGTTAGGAACCAACGGAAGTCTATTAAAGATAGCGGCTTATCGACTATCGCTTATAGTCCTGGGGAACATTCTAGCCGTGACTGAGTCTATTGTGCGGTTTAATCGAGAATCCGTGACCAACCGTGATAATAATCGAGTCACTGTCCGAGCTTCTTTATCAACCCCGAAGCAAACCATAACTTATTCTGAACGAAAAGACTGTTTCTCAAAAATGTTTCAATTTAGTTTACAGAAGAAAAATGATACAATAAAATATTATTAAAAATCAGTCAATAGAGTAATAATTAAATTAAGCGTTTCCAAAGGCGGAGAGGTTTGCGAATAATTTGATATGCGTAACTGATGACAGTATCAACAAACAGTTAGCGAAGTGCATCAATTAACGAGACCGTGGTAAAGGAGAGGCAGTAGTAGCTATAACGATCCGAATTTGATTAGGTTGTTTCACGAACCGCGACCAAACTTTGTAGCTAAACGCATTTGAAATGGAACGTTTATTTAATGTCTGGTAATTTTAACGACCGCATGTGCGATGTTGCTGAAATTATTGTAACAAACTTCATAGCAGGGTTTGATAACAATGCATAGCAATATAATTATGTAGAAATGTAATCATATAACGTGTAATCTAATACCGAATACTCGGTAGGGTATTAATTAGAAAAGATTGCGCTGTAATTCACAAAGGTTCCTCTACTTAACGGCAGTAGCCATCTTTCACAAATTCCAGTAACGTAATCGACCCGTTGGAATTTCAGAGCCATACCTGTTGCTGATTTTCTCGCTGTGTAGTTAAACGTGCCTCGACGCATTGTCTGGTCTCTAGGAATGCCTGCCTTTGCGCCAATTCCCGAGGATGATGCGTTAACACACCGGCCATGTTCGTTCCACCCACGACGACGATGGAACTCAGCAACTGGAACGAAAAACACACGAGGATATTTAGAACAATCGACTTGGAACATCCTGTACACTCAGATAAAACCGTCAGTGATTTTTAAGGATCGAAGAGATTGAATCTAACCCCTGTTATTTTCATTGTAACGCCCTAGGTCTTGTCATAAGAGAAAGCAGAGCACGAACGTGTCCGAAAGGGAGGAAAAAATTGACCAGGTGATGAGTGGTATGATAACGTAATGGCGAGAACAAGATGACCAACGGATTATCAGAGCCCGGGCACACGACTAAGGGAAACTTTATCGCCGGTTCAACGAAGAGGAGAATGAAGGTAACAGATCTTGATAAGAGAAGGGTCAGCTCATCGTTTTCTCAACTGATTTACAATTAGAAACAATTTCAAATTTGCTAAGAGGTAAATAAAGCAGATATTATTTTATAAATGTATAAACAGGAAGCATCTCTGGAGAGAACGTTGTAGAGATTACTGCAAAAACATTAATCCTCGCAAGGTATGAAATATTTTATCTTCCTGGAAGATGGAAATTCATCGAGGAAAATGTTAACATAAAAGCAACGAAAACTTTCATCGAGGGAGCTTTAGAAGGAAACTGTTGATCTGTTGCACGGCTAAGGTTTCTTCCCGAACTATCGATAAATAATAGCTGGAAGTTTTGATGAAAGGGATAGCAATCTCGTTAACGAGTCACTATTCTCATCTTTAGAAAATCAGATTCAGGACGAGAATAACGGGAAAGTTATCTTGATCGATACCAGAATTTGAAGTGGGCAAGAGTTTGAGATCTCCGACGCTTGTGGAACGCTTGTGGAAAGAACGATTGAATGTCGGAACGAGTTCCAAGCGATTTGAAAGAGATTTACCAGACGAAATCGAGGATGAATTCAGCCGTAGACTGGAAATTTCCTTGCGGAAAAGTAGCCGACGACGGTCAAAGGAGCGGTTTATTGAGTTTGCCAAGTTGCCTGCCAACCTGCCGATACTGGGGTCCGCTAATTGCAAAGCCCATTCTAATTAAACCGATACCATGGCCGGAACAGGAAACGCTCTTGGTGCATGGTGCAACAGTCGCCTCTTTGATCTACACCTCAACCAAGGCTTGTTGCTTGCTTTCGTCTCTCTCTCTCTCTCTCTCTCTCCCATCTCGAATTTCCATTTTCATATTAACCGTTTGCGGCCTACTTCGTTAGTTTCAATTCATACTGCAATTTCACCGAGATGTACAGATATATAGATAAACGGAATGCTGCGCAGAGACTACTACAGCTGGAAGCTTGATGGTTCTCTTCCTAATTTACTGAAAACTTAATAATTTCAGAAGTTAGGGCAATGCCGAGGAAACGATGAGATTCTTTTCTACGTAATTACTTTGTTAATTATTAAATACGCGAAACAGTTAGCTCCAGGCAAACAAGTTATTTACCCTGTACTCCACGTTTAGAAACTTTCGCGTCTTGTGAAAATTTAGTGAACTGCATTGTTTTAAATTTCTGAGTCTTCGAATTCTCTCTGGATTCTTCTGATATTTTTGTTAGAATCTCTATAAGTTCTCGTTTGACTCTACCCAGGATAGCGCATGGGGTTTCAAGTCTTAATTTTTTTAGTAATTTAAGACTTACAGATATTATTCCATAATCTGAACTTTATTTACATAACCATATTTATCATTTTAAGACAGAACATGGAGCAGAAGGAAGTTTGAATAGGACATATCATCAAAGAGAGCGGAATTCCGTGTTATTGGTTCGAGAGCAGCTTTTGAACATCCCTTTCAGGAAATCTATGAAAGTTTGGTCTGAAATCTGGATCTGACATTGCCGTTGAACGTTCCAAGGTCTTCCAGAATAGAAACGGATGCTTAAGGCATAATGTCCCGTTCGTATTAATTGGCAAAAGCATTGGACAGATTTGAAACTTTGCAATCTTTGCATTTCAATAAATTTTGATAATTTGAACTGTACGAATGGGAAACATATTAATTTGAAATTTGATTATTTTAGGCATGGAGTCTCAGAAGATTCAATACACGAAGATTTGGTTTTTTTAAGTCATGGTCACTTTGAAGTTTGATTACTTAGAAGGCGTGGTTACTTGGAGGCGTGGTTACTTGGAGACGTGGTTATTTGGAGGCGTGGTTAATTGTAGGCATGGTCATTTGAGGGCTTGGTTACCTGAGGGCGTGGTTACTCGAGGGCGTGGTTACTCGAAGGTGTGGTTACTTGAGGGCGTGGTTACTCGAAGGCGTGGTTACTTCAGTACATGATTACTATGAAGAATGATTACTTAGTGCAGCGATTACTTGAAGTCATGGTTATTTGGAAAAGCAGAGTCACTCAAGAACGTAATTACTCGAAGAAGAGTTTACTTAGAGGCGTGTTCTCGTGGAGGCGTGGTCACTTGGGGTGTGGTTACTTGGGGGAGTGGCCAGTTGTAGGCGTGGTCATTTCAAGAAATTCTTCTTTGGACATACAATTACTTAGATTTTCGTTACTCAAGAATCTAATTACTTCTAAATTTAAGCAAATTTAAAGCATATAGGCACGGTCAGAAAAATTTAATTAAATGTTTGAATTTGATTGCGAACAAAGAATTGTGAAATCAAGGCAAGAAAAAATTAAATTAGATTTAAAGTAAAGGTACGCGTAAGGGATTCCAGCAATCCTACAGGTGGTTGCGGACGAATTCACCTGACCATGGATACTTCAAAGTAAGTTTTCCGATTAGGCGAAGTTTTTTCATCGTACTTGAAATCGACTCTCCTTCATTGTTGAATTGAATTGAAATCCATCGAGGCTTACGAAAACTGCACCGCATCCAACAAAAAGCTAGGTAATTTTCAATGGTAGCAGAAAATTCATAACGCAAGAATTTTCAAAATTCAATTTACTGAGGATTACAGTTTTGATACATAAAAGATTATTTTTGGAAAGGAATGGAAGCAAATACCGATTCGTTCATGATTATATACAAGAATTGTTATTAATAATTTAATGAGCGAGATGTTGGCATGGAAATCTCTACAACTATAAACAATTTCGAGGAATGCATAAATCCTGGTTGAATTTCATGTTTTTATCCCAAATTGGAGATCGTCGTGATATATGAAAATGACGGGAATTCATCGGGAAAATATTTAGAACCGGTGGGAACGAAGAACGGAGAAAGGAATTAAAGAGCGATGCAAGAGCGTGAATAAATTTCAACGATATGAATTCTCTGCCAGATTAAAAATGGACGACGGAAATAATAATAATCCTCATGTTTTTAATAATCCACCGGTGGTTTTAAGACTAAAAAGAAAAGAGAGTCGAATATCGTACGCAAAATCATACGGTATTTTTATTCGGTTATATTTATTCAAGTAACGAACGAATAGTTAAAAACGAAATTTGTCCAACGATGGCTTCCTCGAAAACGGACGCAAATACAACAAAAATATTGTTCTACATTTTTTATTTACTTTTGCAGCTGGAATTCACTGGTTGCTGATACTTCATGGGGTGCCATCTATATTCGATGATGCGCGAACAGAAAACCTGGCAGTTGCAAACGGCAATTGAATTTTCCGGTTCACCCACCTGACGATATTCCGATTCTCCTTTTTCACCGTGACTCATGACAACCGTTCCACTCCGCCTCGTTATAGAAGCTGCATATTTGCAAGTTACCCGAAACATTCTTCAGGTTCTTTCCTTCATTTTCTATATATTTAACAATTTTCATTCCCCATCTGCCTGAATTATTTCTTCTTTTGCAGAAATATCTGATTTATACAGACGAAGAAACATTTTCTTGGCTTCAATATTCTCGACAAAATGGTTTCTCGAATTTCGATGGAAAATTAAAGACGAGGTCAAGTGGATCAAGTTTCTCGTTAACGAAGCCGGTCATAATTATAAGAGCACTGGTATGTTTCTTGCTTCTAATTTGTTATCGCTTATTAGCGTTGCTATCGATTTATCGACGAGAAAGGACTCTCTTGCAATGTTTCATCCCAGTTTGCATTGGAGCATACTTTTCATTTCATCAAAAGTTGAGTCACGACACAAAAATCAATCGACGTTTCCCCGCCAGTGCGTTTCATTAAATTCCCTCGTTCAGTAATTACAGTCCGGGACTAAGAGCGATTTACGTCAATCATTCGCCTGCCAATCTCTTATAGAGCAATTTGTAATCCCGATTCCGTGAATCTGTCCGTTCGTTCGCAACGTTACATCGTTTACAGTAGTAAAACGTCGAAATGTTTCGTCGAAAAAAACAGCGGTAACTTCTCGGTTCCTTTTTGTAGAGCAGGTTCAAAGCAAATTTGCGTTTCCTACGTGCCTATTGTTACATATTTGAAGTTGTTACTCGACCTTTGAAATCCTGGATACAGTTTTGTGAAAATCCCCGTGCAATTCGAATTTCCGGCTGGGTTTTGTGCAAAAATCCGTTTCGGTGAATATGCTCCATCAAGTTCGAGCTTCTGAATAACGGCGAAAGCTCGACACGTTTTGTGGACAAAAACGCATACAGTACACCTGGTACACGCGTTCTATCTTCGTGTTTATCTTGTTAAAAAACTAAGCTGAAAGCGTAACTCGTTAGTGAATTCGCCTGGTCTTATTGTTCTTGACGAAAGTCGGTCGAGCGATATCCCATCGGAATCAAAAAGTTATTGTTTCTTTTCATGAATTTCCGCAGTTGCGAGCAGTGAAACGAAGTAGTTAGTTGTAATTCATGAGCAGGTAATACAACAGTGTGTGACTCACAATTTCCTGCTGGCTATTCAATCGTTAAAGTATTAGTACTCTTAATTTCACTTTAAAAAGCGAATATCTGGAAAACATTTGTCTTCGAACGCTGCGTCACGTATTGCTACGTTCATTGCTCATAAATATTCCCGAGACGTATAAATCACATTAAAGCCTCGATCGAACCACTTTAATTGCTCGCATTTTTTCAGCGATCGCGTCAGTCAGATGCCCCGTCAGTTTCCCTCGAAGCGGATCGTTCTTCGTGGAGAAAATTGAATCAGAAATCGTCGGCAACAAAATGGAGGCGGGAAAACCACGACGAGACGAAAGGAACTTTATTGACGCGATATATGGATGACTATACCGGCGACTTCTCCCCGCGGTAATAACCGTATGTTAATGACGGAAGGAAAACAGCAATTTCTTTCGGAGACGGATGCGATCGTTTTGGGGTCGGACCCCTCGTACTTCCCCGTGTCCATGGCGAGACTTTCCCCGAGTCGTCTGGCTTCGCGTACCAACCTCTATAATTTTGTTTCTCCGCTCGTTCCATCGAGATGAGGGAATACATGAATAACAAAGTCGTTCAGCGCTGCTGGGACACGCTCGTGCGCGTACATATGTATGGGTGCGAGATGTTGGAAAGGGTTGCAAATTTTTCCACCTAAAAACGTCATGAATATCTCATACTTATCGACGTACTTTTAATCGTTGATAATTGCCTTTGCAGTCATTGAATTTATGATCTAACAGACAATATCTGTACATTCATGGATAAAATAGAAGACTATGATCATCCACACGCATCTAGCAACATCTCGTATCGATACACCAAAACTTGTATCCATAAGTTTCTTCATAAACTTAAAATTGTACGTGACTGTTAATTGTATGTAAAGTGTTAACTGTGATTAACGCTGTTACATTACGACAGCAAAATTCGAGAAATGTAAGTGTGTCCTCGAACCACGTACTATCACGTTCCGCTTGTTTGTCGAAAGAGCTTGCAGAGATGTCCCAGCAATCGGAAATCTGGGGTTCGTGATTTAATCTCGATAAAAAGCGGTGTTATCGTGTGGAAGATTTTTCGATGTAGAAAGTGGCGATCAGCGCGCGATATCAGGAACAGAATCGCCTGCATAATGGAAATTCGGACGAAATATTCATGCGCGGACGTAATAAATCGGTGAACCGTGTTTCCTGGAGCAGGATGTGGAGGCGATATCGCCTGTGGTCGCGGGAGCAGCCGATTGAAACGTATCGCTGGCTAACGAGGCGATTTTCCTAGGAGACATCGATCGACTCGTGAACGGCGGAAATGTTTTCTGAATTGCTGTTTTACACGCGTATTCGGTGCCATAAAATGAATAAACTCGAAGGTACGTGGATCGAACAGCAGGATGATTCAGCTTGTTTCTCGTAACTGATACGTATGGTGTCTTGCAAATATGTAGTTGTAGTTATTCACAAATTTCTTATAATATTAGAAACACGTGCTGTATGTTTAAAGTGTAGTTAAATATGTTTCTCCATTTATTAACCAATTCGACATTGTAAAAATTGGTAATTGTTATACCCAACTTTGTTAATACCATTCGGGACGTGGTTTTATACGGCTTGATAATTCCTGTAGGAGGACACGGCAGAAAGTTGGAAGACTTTGTCCCCTAGATACTCCGTATAAGAAGCACGTGGTTGAAACAAGTTTGAAAGCTTCTGTGGAAGTCGCTTCGAATCGAAAGAATTTCTTTCCCTCGGTGGAGTAGCGAGTAGGTACACAAAGCCAGGTAAAATATTCAGTTCCCCGGTGACGAGAGTTTCACGAGGAAAAAATTTCATCGCGAGAGAACGTTTTCCCCGGCTTCCAACGAGAGCAGAGTCCAGCAACGCGAAACGCTCGCTGTTTTTCTTCACGAGTGGGTTCTTGAACGTGTCCTGGCCGCCATTAGGCCAACATCGCCGTGCTCCTACGACCTGCCGTAATTGAATTTCCAACTTTCTCCGGCTATTTTCTCCTCTGTTTGCTTGCTCGACCGAGCGTATCCTTCCAGATATATGGTATGTACACTTCGAAGGACCGTCCGTCTCCTTTTTTCCGTCGTAACGAACACGAGGGCATTAGAGCGTCGCCCGTACTTTGGCCAGACCCCCAGTTTGCCCGAACGTGATTAGATTCATTTTTATTGGCAGGGAGAAGTCGAGATACATTGACCATCCCTTGGTCGACCACGAGAAGCACTCTGGGGGATTCGGTGATTGAAACTCCTGATATTAACGCGATATTTTCAGAGCTCAACTTTTATCTACATGATCAATGTTTGTGAATAGACATTGCTGATGACTTTTCGTTTCAGGGGTTCGAGTTTATATTGCAGATTGTAGGAGTAAACTCGTTAATGATTCGTACGGGAATTTAATCTTGTTTGAGAGATTGAAAAAGAAAGCTAATGCCAATTTAGACGGAAGTGTCTCACAGGGAAAAAGCGTTGGTGGATGAATCAGGAATTCGTTTGACGTCTCCATTAATCTCTTCCCCCTTTTTTCGCTTTGTTTATTCCAATTTCTTGTGGCAGGCAATTTTGCAAATTGCCGGCTGGCTACTCCCTTTTGTACTGTCCCCCTTCGGTCAATTAGCTTTCACTCTCGATCGTTGAATCCAGAACCGGGGTTACGATAATAGAGATTGAAGTTTGCGAAGAGCAAACTGTCGCCGGAGCTTATAGAAACATTGATCTTGCCATTTCGAGCAATCTTCGTCTTGCACTCACGTATCAATCGGTCACGTTGCGCGTTTTGAGTTAATCACATTAACAGTGTTTCATGACATCCAGTGTATTCCTCTGTTCACATTGAAGTACATTTTAGCTCATCGATTTGAATGTATCTAGAAATCTATTCACGTAATTCATAACAAGCAATTTACAGATGCCAATCTTCAGTAACTCCACAGCACGTAGTGGTGTAGAGAAGGCTTCCCGAGTAAACTTCTCCGTAAGCGTGGGAACGTTGCCTCATAACGAATTCCTTTTGCGACGAGGTTCTGGCCCCTTTTCGTTCGCACGAACAAGATCGTGCCAACATGACGCGCCACCCGCTTTGACAACTTCCATAAGCTGCCAAAGGTCGTGTTCAAAGGGTGTCACCCGGTACACTAGCCAACAGAAGATGCTACCACTGCTGGAACTGTATGGCACGTTTCAGCTACCGCGATTTAAAATCGTGATCACCCTATTCGACCATCGACAAACATCGTTTCGCTAACCGGCCCATTTATCCTCCCATGAACGTTTTCATGAGGGTCGCTAGGTTTTCCCGTTCCGTACATGTGTTGCGTCTGTTTTGTCCTCGTAGGGACAGAATGGTATGAACTTTTTGCGAGGGAAAAATACGTGGGTACTGATACGTGTTGTTTTTGTGAACGTTGGATGAAAGAGAATATTTCCTGTGCTCTTAAATGAAGTGCTACTATTAATGCTAAATTTCAACATATAATTCTTACTGTTATTAATTATTTAAGAGACTGTTTGCTCAACGGACTAACGAGCTATTCGTACATCCGAGTAAACGTTAATTAATTCGCTCTCGAGACGACGATTTCTGCACTCAGATTTTCATTCATTATCGCTCGAATAAAACATTAATTAAAAGTGTAAAGAAAGTATCTAATCCTCCAATTTATCTTTTACAGGATTTCGAAGTCTAAGGAATAAAGGAAAAGCATTGAATGAAAAATCCTGTTGTCCGAGATCGATCATAGAAGCAGCGAGAAATTCTGTTTTCACGTGTGTCGATAAAGCTCGATGTTGCATCGACTCGATTCACGTGCTTTCAATGTAATAAAAGCTAAATAAATTGCTCGGTAAAGGACGACCGAGGAGCTTGATGGATGAAGACACCGAGCTCGAAGGAAATCCAATAACAACGAACCGTTTTCAAGAGATTTCACAATCGTTCTCGTCTATTCTATGCTCCGCCGTCATCGATCTGTGTTTCTCTTATCTGTTATCAGTGCACGCATATGTTCCGCGTTTTATCTCGACGATCGAACCGCGACAAAACGAGGGAAATGCGTTTCGTTGTAATTTCACGGCGTACTATTTTTTTCCGCGAAACAATCCTCTTACCGAGAGAACTCATTTTTCAACCGGAACACGTTTCCATACGAAATGGTAGAAATCGTTTGAACCGCGACACAACTTTCGGAGCATGCAAATTATCTAGGGATATTTTATTTCCTTTGAAAGAATTTTCGGAAAACGGAATATTTCTGATGCACCGAGGTACTTTTGACGGATTTAAAATGTCGTAATTGCGCTTGGGAAATGTGGTTTAATTACAAAAAAAAATGCGATCATGTCTCCGTGAGTTGGTAAAAGTGCAACAATTTTATCCTTTGACATCGGTAAATCTTCTGGGTAAAGGGATTAATCGAACGAAATACGATCAACAAATGTTACCGGGGTAATGCAGCTCTCCCGTTAATTAGACGTCAAATTCAGCATTCTGTGATTTTAACATCGGTGGAATTCGTTCACTAGTCTCTGTTACGTCGCGTTCGTTAATTACAGTATTCAAGTACTTGGCAGATATTCTACATCCAGTCTGTTCTATATTCTATGATCTAACAGGGGTTTTAACGTATTATCTTATAATTAAATTTCGGCGAGCGATAGAACAATATTATTCGAACCTGCATATTCGAAATAGGTAATGTTAGGTTGACGAGTATGAAACTGAACGTACAGACGTAAACATCGAAATTCATCTTTTATTTGCCGTTTCATTGAAATTTCAATATTGGGTCAATTTAAACGATGCAGCTCCGTGTTTTATTTACAATATCGGTTCGTTACAATCTCCTTATTGGTTTTATGGATTGACCTATTTTGTAGAATTTTTGTAGAAAATTCCCGTAGTTTATGAATATGTATCTGTCGCAGAGACATGGATGATCCAGCTAGCGTATATAAATGATTGTTTCAAGGATATTAAGTTCATGCCCTAATATTTGCATATTTATTCACAGGTGGCAAAGAGTGAAGGACAAGAAGAACGAACCGAAGAATGTCACTTACGTGCTCCATCATGGCTGGATAGTGTGAAGGATAGAGAGCAAAGGCGCCAATCAGATGTGCCAATGAGAATATGAAGCCAGCGATGCAAGCATGTCGCAAGCGAATAGGCAGCAACGCGTATGCCGTGTAGATGAAGAAACAAACGGCCCAGGCTGCGGCTAGCGGGCCACCACTCCGATGTTCTTTGGATCCGAGGGCAAGATGGATGTTCAGCGCCAGCTGGAGGGCCATCAACGTCACCAGGACGATCCCACTGACCCCGGCTAACCAGATCTCATTCATACCTGGTCGCGATATGGTTGCTACCAACACTGAAAATCAATGAATGGATATCGAAGGGTTGATAAAGTAGAGGAAGTGAAGGATGTGCTTAGGAGCGCTTAAAGCAATGGCGGTCATTACTACATAACTCGTTGCATAAATTATTCAGTACATTAAAACAATGAATCAGTAAAATTATAGTAGTGACATCTGTAGTTTTTTTTAATATATTTAGATGTAATCCTTTTTTGGAAAGGAATAGGTACCAGCATAAACCACGATGCAGATGACCAACGTGACTGCCAATGACAGGTTCTCGGGTCTCTCAAGAGTAACGAGAAACTGGCCATTATCCTCCAAAATTAGTCTCAAAATTAAAAGCAGACCCAGAGCGACAGCCAGACCTGCTAGTAGGCCGAGCACGTGCGTTGTGTTGCTTTGATTCATCCGCAGGAAATAGCGTTGGTACAGCATTTCCACCTGAAAGAAAATCATAACGTTGCTTCTGTGAACATTTAGATAAAATGTCTGACTTGAAAGTACTTATCAACTCTAAATATTATAATAATTCTTTACTAAAAATAGTAGTTTGATTAATATCGAAATGCGACCTAAATGGGTCAAGTAAGAGGAGTGGTAGATTGTCGCAATTTTATCCCCGTTGATGGGTTTTGAGTTGATCACGAACCGTCAAAGAGCAGAGAAAATTTGAACAGAGTTTTCGACGGAAAGATATTTGATAGTCCGCTTTCTTACGAAAATTATTCATAACGCGTTGCAGGTTGAACAGAGTGGAGCTAACGCGTTCATTTACATGAAAATAGTGGCAAGGGTGGTACAAACGGTCTGTTGAAAATCCACTGAAACGCGTCAGAGTGCACCGCGTGGCAGAAATGAGATATTATACTACTTTGAACGTTCCTCGAGACGTTGCAATCAACGGAAAACGAGCATCAGCATGTGTTTGCGCAGCAAATGAATTTCTGTGTAAGTACATATACAGTATTCGCATGCATATCGTGCATCGGAGCCGGTAAACTAATTAAAATTAATTTAATCCTCGATTTGCTTGTACCTGTAATTCTATATTCCTATCAGAAATCTGATTATTTTACTTCTTTCAATTCACAGGTACGTGCAGCGATCCCGCGCTACAAAAGAGCTTGTTTATCTATGGCAGCTTAACTTTTTCAATCTCGGTGTCAGAAACTGCTACATCCGTAACAGCGGAGAAGTTGAAAAGTTGAAAAATTGCTGGCCAGCCTCGTACGAGGATTAATTTAGCCGCGGAAAATCAAGCTTGTTCGATCAGAAACGGACGTGGAAGCGAAGAAAACAAAACAGAAGAGATAAAAAGACAGGGAGAGATGCAGTTCGACAGAATTCAAATTGACTTCGAGTCAAGCCCGATTTAATGATCTCTAAAATTAAAGGAACCGAGGAAATGCAGACGACGCCCAGGCGAAACGCTCCGAACCGAAATAAATCACGAGAGTGCTAGGCGGTCGTTGCTTCTTTCACGTTTTCTTCCATTCTTATTAACTTCAGTCTCAATCTTCGAGATAACACGGTTCTACATTCAGTGCTACCTAATTCCAGCTGCAACTACGTCCAATGTTATTTATTTAAATTCTGTAAAAACTATTGCCTAACATTTCCACGGGAATGGCGATATATGAGCTCAAATACAATGCAACGAGTACCAGGAACTCGAGAATCGATCAACCGATAGTTAACTGGTTACAGTCCGATTTTTTTGGCTTTATCGGACAGCGTGCAGCATGGAATTAGCTTGGTCAAGTAGATAATCGAAACAGCACACGTCCAGAGATTATCGGCGGTAATGTTTCCGCGCATATTGAATTTGTTTATTATCACAGATAGGAAATCGCGACCATTTATTGATCACGTTTTAAAGTACCCGTAGTTCAAAGCTATCAAATTACGCTTGATAATCTTTGTGATCCCAGAAACTATATCGTCCTAATATTTATTCATAAAACATTATACAGTTCCGGGGAATACGTGCATCGAAAACAATTTATTTAAAAAAGGGAAAAACTTTAAATTACACGGGCGGAACAAGCTAACTCTTTTTTCCGCGCTGGACATTGACGGTTTTAAAAACAACTCCCAACGAACAGTGTTAAACGGAAAATCAAACTTTTAATGATATCCCTCAAAGCGTTTCGTTGAATAGTTTGTGCGTTCCTACCACGGATTTGTGGGAACGTGTTTAGGAACACCACAAACACCTATGCGAGAATGAAACTAAAGACTCGGAGTTGGAAACTGCTCGCAGCTGGTAGTGCCAGATTTTCGGTTACCTCTCATTTGTACTATTTTCTGTTTTCCATTTAATTCTTATTGTAAACAGTACTACATACCAAATAATTTTTAAATATGTTTCTGAATATGATCTCTTACCTGCAGGTTCGTGAACCGATGCGATGCACACAGCGATTTTAAAAATTGACAGAGGGCACATTTTCTGGGCGGCTGAGTTGTTTGCGGCTGCACGTTCACCTCCTGCGTCGTCTCTACACTATTTCCTATTAGGCCAACGCCGATCTCTGATCCTCTGTTCATCTACACATAGGCATTGGAATATTAAGTATCTAGTTAAATGCAATAATAAGTGTGATATTCACCGTAATGATGGAAGGACGAGGTGCACCGGTGAAGTGCTCGATCACCTCCCAGTTGGACTTCTTCAAGGGCGTGTGTGGTGTCCTGGGTGTGTTCGGTGTGTGAGGTTGAGAAGACGGCGTCGACGACTTGGAACCCGGAGGATCAAGCAACAGCTCGACCTTCGGTTTACCACCATCGTTGTTGCTTACGTGTTGCCTCAAACTGGCCCACCTCCTGGTGCTTCTCACTGATCCACTGACGGACCGAGTCGCCACTTCGCCCTGTTGATCAAACCGTACAAAAACCTAAATAATCTCCATCAAAATTTAATTTACTAAATTGTATGTACCCTGATTACTTCAAGAACTATTACTTTAACAAATACTGATTTTCAGATTCGAACACTGTGCTAGGAGTTCGTGAAAGGAATATTCTGAATGGACTTTCATTGTTATTAAAAGTTAGCAATCGAAACAAGTTCTGAATTCTCGTGCTCCTGACATTTAAAGTGGAATAAACGTGCAACGATTCAATTAAGATTCTTAGAAAAAGAAATTCATTGGGGTGAAGGGTTGATGAAGAATCTAGGACGAAGCCCCAAGTTAAGACGAAGTGAAAGAACCAGGGGTAGACTGAAAGGGTGCGAGACAAGGGCTTCCCCGTCTGATTAGGAAATCGAAATTTAATACGACCGAACGCTTTATCCTTCATCTTTCAGCTTCTCGAAGCTTCTTTCTCGACATTGCTTTGCTTCGATTCTTGAAAAATTGTGAATGAAATATGGAATATTTTTCTAAGTATTAATACTTGCAGATTCATGTAAGAGACCATCATTATTTTTTCAGAAATATTAACTTACTGCTACTGCACCATCATTTAAGTGCTTATTATACATGGAAAATTCCGACATCGTTCTGCAGATTTAAAGCATTTATTTGTTAACAAAAAGTTTGTGAATGAAGCGACTTATAAACGGTTCCGAGTATTGGACTGGTGCAAAGTAAACTTTTAACTGGAACAATATTGACGAGGACCTTTGCAAAATTAACACCGCCAACTCGTGTAACAGTTGAGGAAATTTTCTGACGCGATTAAACTCTTCCAGACTGTTCCTGGAAGACATTTATCGACTTCCAGAGGAAAAAAACAAGAAACCTTTCAGCACCGGGTTAGTCGAACAGGAAGTAAATCCGAGACGAGTAACGAGGTTAAAATAATTTACAAGTATTGCTAATTTCAATTTTACAATGAAGTATTGTTCTCACAGCAGTTTTTGCTAACTTTTAAATGAAGATCTGAAATATTTTGTAGGTATCGTCAGAATAGAAGATCAAGATTTCTTTAAAAGGGGAAGACTTCTTGCTCCGCCGATTCCTTTCTTTATGTCGTCGCTGATGAAACGCAAATATCCGCACGGATTTCTCTCGTCGAGAAATCCGGGACGCGACCCAGAGAAAACACAAATTTCCGGGACTATTTTATAGACAAGAAGTAATTACTCTTAGAAAAAGTAAGAACGGAACTCGTTAAGTTCAGCATTGACGTTCGATAAACTTGCACGAATCTGAAATATCCGAGGAGTGGTATTATCCTGCAATAGATGTTTGTAATTTCTTCGTGTTCTAACACGACGATGCAACGCGGTGACAAACGCTTGGTCACAACTCATCTTTTAATGGGAAGTTGGTCATCGAATGGATTATAATGAAAATTGATTTGATTCTCGCTCTGATTACCGACAGTTGTTCCATTAAACACAGTGCAAACAGTCCAATTAATTCTCTCGAGTCTCGTGGCTCGTTTAATTATTGTAATCCCACTGTCTCGTTACGTAGACGTGGCTAGAAGCTGGTAACAGTATAAGCGAATAATTTTGGAGAATTTCGTTGATACCGCTCCTCAAATATTCTCATTAATTAGCGTCTTATACAAAGTATGAAGTAAGAAATTTTATTGTAGGTTTATGAAATTGCTGCGGTCCTACTTTGTTCAACTTTTGACGGAAATTGGAACGGTCCTGATAAAAGACCTTTATCGGCGAAGCCAGTTAAAGTTGAGAACAGTAGCCGAAACATTGCAGTGCCCAGTGAATTCTTCGTTGACGCAGTGCATGGTTCGTGTTGGAAGTCAGATAACGTATCAGTCGTCACACATTTTCAGACGATCTCGCCTGGCCAAATACGTGTCTGTTCTACCGTGTTTCCGCTCCCATCGTTTGTTTCACTTTTTCACGATTTCACGCACTTCTTCCGACAAATGCTCTTTTATTAGCTTTTACGTAGAATTTATAATGAGGGTGAAGAATGAAATATAATATTTCTTGATCCAATTAAATTACACCGGTGTCTGAAGGTGAAAATATTTTATTAACCGAGTTATCACGAAAACGATGGTAAAATGTTTATCGATTCAGGAGGGTGTGGAAAATGTAAAATATTCCTTCCTTAATACGTTCATTCGATAGTTATGAATAATTCACTGTACGAGGTTAATTGAAGTGGCAAGGCTGTGCTTCTGCTTCCCTTCCGATTTGGGAATCATTCGACCGTGTTTTAATAACATTTCGGCTCAATATTCATTAATTATTCAAAGTTCGAAATCCGATGATCGCGATTTACCGCCATCGCTTTGCCCCGTAATTGCTAATGGTATGTATTTCATAATCGCGTTTATCAACCATTATAAACGAAACGTTCAAGAATACCAAATCACGTTGTTTTAATTATCGGCAATCGCATAGCAAATTGAAAAATTATTACCGACTCAATTTGATAATACAGGTAATCAAGTTAATAAAATATCGAAACCAAAGTAGCTCCGACTTAACAAATATTTTAAATTGTAACCGCAGTTTATTTTTGGATTATTAACGCATGCTTTTAAAAGTACAAATTGACGTCATGCAAACCGTTGAGGGAAAAAAAGGAAAACAATAATATTTGGAGATCAAACAACCGCGTAATTTGTCCGGTGAAACATAGAATTCGGTGAGAGAAGGTAACTGTGAATTTTGCGGTTGACATAGGGTAAATTCGACCGAGCAGCAACGTTAATAATTGCTGGTTGAAATGGAGCGGACCGGAAACACTGTGACAGCTCTGATCCTACTCAGGGATGGTTCAAACATGGCTGAAAATTTTCATTTGAACTCCCCTCTGCTTGTTCTCAACACATACTAGTTAATTCGGTTTTTGTGAATAATTGTCATGCGTGAACAATCGACAGTTTTCTTTTAATTTGTAAGGGATGAATTTACTACGGTATTAATTGTAGATTGCTGCGAAAACTTGTATGTATGTCGTTATGCATTCTATCGTCACGTGTTGCATAACCACATATTGCCATCCCTAAAAGTTTTCCGCTTCTGTCCTCGGTTTAGTCAACAGCAATATAAAGTTCAAATATTACGACTAAACATTCGAGACCTAACGCTGGTTTACGAACAACAAAAGTTAAAGAATCGTTGGAAAATATCGACGTAATACTCCTACTCAAAATATAGTCTTCGAGTGTTAGACTAAGAAACTGTTTCTCACGAAACTTTCTTAATATGAACTTTTCATTCTTACGATTCTTTCATTCTCGCGAGATGAGACGTTCTCTCATTAAAGACGTCAAGGTTCTTTCTCGGGTTGGTAATAAATAAAGATAGAGGAAAATCGATGGAAGTACGAAGGATAGGATCTTTGAAACGGCTATATAAATTACCTGATGACTTCTTCGACTGGCACGAAGGCTAAGCCTGTGGCTCCACTCGTGCTTCGGGAATTCCACCCCGTATTTCTCCATGTCGACCTTTCCTTTCTTCCGGTCGCTCGGTGAAAAGCCCCTTCTCGACCCAGTGGAACACCCTTGTCCGCTATTTCACGCCTCCTCCTGCCAAACAGACGACTAGTTTCAGGCTTCTTCTCGAATTCGAGTTGCCGTAAAACTAGGTGAAATAACGCGGTGTCTAGAATGATATATCTTTGGGTCTTCGCTGTTTTACGCGATGGACCATCAGTTCCAGCAAATTTCCTCATAATGCCAAGTGTTACGAAAAACCAGATATAAATTACTAGGTGTTCAGCTCCTTTACATCATAAATTCTTTCTTTGCAGGTGGATATGGGACTAGGAGTGGAACATCTGGAATGCATTCATCAAGTTGCAACCATCTGAAGATCATGGAGAAATGTATACAGTGAAATTTCTGGGCAAATGTAAACAAGAGTGTATAAGTTTGTTAGTAGACTTGGCAGTGAAGCTATCTGCACCTCCTTTAAATGAGGAACATATGAGAAAGTATGTATAGGTGGATATGATTACGTTTTTCCATATTATATCTTTCAATAATATATTTAAACTTTGTAGGAATGAATAATGGAGAGTAGTACACAAAGTTGTACCTATGACTTCCATGCTGGCAGTGAAGCTATCTGCACCTCCTTTAAATGAAGAACATGTGAGAAAGTATGTATAGATGGATATGATTACGTTTTTCCATATTATATCTTTCAATAATATATTTAAACTTTGTAGGAATGAATAATGGAGAGTAGTACACAAAGTTGAACCTATGACTTCCATGTTGGCAGTGAGTTACCTCATCCATTATAGCCAAGAGTTCACCCTTCCAACCTTTAATTGAATCTGAAGTGCTGCTGTCTTCACAAGTATGTTAGTAAACACTAACTCAAATTACCAAAATAATAATCAATGACTAAGAACACACTTTTTCTATCATAAAAGTAAAAGGAAATAAAAGGCTTTCAAAGCGACCTCAAAATACATAATCTAAGTTTAATTTTATTTTAGGACAAGGTTCGTCCAAAGTTCGAAGTCGGCTTCGTGTTGCTTAATCGCTCCGTGGTTGAAGTAGAATGAGAAATTGTTTTGTTACGACCGACCGAAGAATTGCAGGGGATTCGAAATTGCTTTTAGCCGACGGTTAATTAAAAACTGACTGAAACTTCTCGCCTGTTGGACGCAGATGAACCGCGTGGTAAGAAGCTAGCCGCCTCGACACCATTTTCCGCGTGAAATTGTAGGCTCGACCGTTACGAAAATCGAGTTCCCTCGCATGTAATATAATCGTTCGCGACGCGGTACGCTTTACACGCGAACACCTGGAAGAGACGCTGGATTTTTCTCTCGATGTTTTCGACGTTTTCCTTTCATCCTCAGCCACGTACTACTACAGCGGGTAATCGAATCGTCTCAGTTTTAAAACTGACGAATCGCTTACGAACCTTTTAAAAGGAAGCTTTGATGTACTTTTCTGAGCTATCGAGAGATAAAAC